AAAAAAAAAAAAAAAAAAAAAAAAAAAAAAAAAAGAGTACCCAACTCAGACATGTTTTCTTCTACTTCTTATTTGATACCCCAAATGGGTGAGAAAATGGCCTAGTGGACGGTTGAATAATAGCTGGGTTTGTGGTTTGCACTGATTGTGGTCATGATGTTACACCAGATGTCCCTACCTAGGTAGATAGTACTAGATTGCAATATCACCTACGAATTGTTGCAGATGATGTCTCTTCTTGCACTGCGATTGTATGTATGCACATGTACGGTACACTATGCTATGATATGCTATACCATGCATCTATGCACTGGGCACCTCAGACCCTTCTAAGGATGATTGTTTATTCTCAGCGATGACTCGTGATGTGATTTAAATGTACGGATACTGCAAATGGATCCTTTGTTGTAAGCCGCATAACGTCGGAGTTGCTTTATTGTACAAAGAGATTTCCCAATGGGTCATCTCCACCTGCATGAGTAAAGCAACTGCTGATCTACGCTGACATTGGATATTGAAGTCATTTCGTCTCATTGCTCTGGGCTGCCAATTTTTCTGATACCCCGACGGTGAGGTGACACGGCCATGCAGTATACCCAGTATGGATCTTAATTAAGGTATTGTACAGTACCTTAGGTACCTTGCCTGTCTAGTGCTTAGATCTTGCATCAGCCGTTGATGACTGCCCGACTGCAAGTTCCTGAAATTGTAACAATGTCTAGTTGATTGATTGCCCGATTAGGCAAGTCCGGGGGTCGTTGTGGGCTACTATGATGCGAGCTGCAGCCTGCAGAGCGGAGTGTGGGCGCTACAGTACCTAGCGGAACCTGCAGCTGCGGGCGGACATGCATAAGCGGCACCTGCAGTCAATGGCAGGTGGCGGAATTCATTCTTCCGCGATCGGTGGCGGAAAATGCAGTCACCAACAACTTTGGCTTCAAAATCTTCTTAAAGACAACGGGTCCTCGCTCCGAAGACATCCCTCCTCTCCCATAATCCTTTTTGACACCAGAGACGAAAACATTTTCGCTATGGACGCTATTAAACAGACTTTTAAGCGCTGCAAGGAGCAGAATAGGGTCAGTAGTACATCATCCATCATGAGTGCCCCTCCGCGGGGTAAATCTTGTATAATCCCAAGGTCAAAGAAGCTGACAACGCATTCTTTCCCATTATCTAGTCTGCACTGGTAACATATGTCACCGCTGGTTACCCCAAGCCTGAAGATACTCCCAACATTCTCCTGGCTTTGGAGAAGGGCGGCGCTGGTTAGCTTCCTTCCCCTTCCCCTTCCTTTCGCAACTGCGTCTTGTGAGCTGCATTGACCAACATATTACCTTCAGATGTCATCGAAGTCGGCGCGCCTTTCACCGATCCAATTGCTGACGGCCCAACTATTCAGACTGCCAACACAGTACGCACATACACGGCTATTGATTTGTCGGATAGACACTGACTGCTTTAGATTGCTCTCGACAATGGCGTTACGATCGAATCCACCTTGGGCATGGTGAAGGAGGCACGATCTCGTGGTCTCAAGGCTCCTGTTATGCTTATGGGTTACTATAACCCCCTTCTCAGCTATGGCGAGGAACGACTGCTCCAGGATTGCCACACATCTGGTGTCAATGGCTTCATTGTTGTCGATCTACCCCCCGAGGAGGCCATCTCTTTCCGCAAGCTTTGTAACAAGGGACGGTGAGTCGATTGGAACGAGTCAAAATTAGACACAATCTGACTTTGAGTTTAGCCTTTCATACGTTCCTCTTATCGCCCCCGCTACCTCAGATACCCGAATGAAGATTCTTTGCCAGCTTGCCGACTCATTTATCTATGTCGTCTCTCGCATGGGCGTCACCGGCGCTACTGGTACTCTCAACGCAAACCTCCCCGACCTTTTGGAGCGTGTCAAGAAGTACAGCGGGAACAAGCCTGCTGCTGTCGGATTCGGTGTCAGCACCAGAGAACACTTCCTGAGCGTCGCTACCCTTTCTGATGGTGTCGTTGTCGGCAGCCAAATCATCACTACCATTAAGAACGCCGAGCCTGGCCAGGCCCTTTCTGATATCGAGAAGTACTGTGCTTACCTCTCCGGCCGCGACTCTGATGATTCAAACACTCGAGAGGTTGGTCTTGTCGAGGCTGTGGCTGGAGCCAAGGAGCCCAGCGGCGAGAACGTTACTGTCAGCGGTACTGTCACAGACGCGGATATTACTGCCGAGGAGGACACAGCTCTGGTGGCCCAGCTTGCTGCTCTTCATGGCAAGATCCCTGAGCGTTTTGGCGAGTTCGGCGGTCAGTACGTCCCTGAGAGTCTGATGGACTGTTTGTCACAACTAGAGGAGGGTTTCAACGCGATCAAGGATGACCCTACGTTTTGGGAGGAATACCGATCTTACTACGAGTACATGGGACGACCTGGCCACCTGCATCTAGCCGAGCGACTGACCGAGCACGCTGGCGGCGCTAATATCTGGCTGAAGCGTGAGGATCTGAATCACACTGGTAGCCATAAGATCAACAATGCCTTGGGACAACTCCTCCTTGCCCGAAGACTTGGAAAAAAGCGAATCATCGCCGAAACGGGTGCTGGGCAGCACGGTGTCGCTACTGCCACTGTCTGTGCCAAGTTCGGCATGGAGTGCACAGTATACATGGGAGCTGTAAGTTTGAACCAATGTTCCAAGGTACTATGACTGACACACCAAACAGGAGGATGTCCGACGACAGGCCCTTAACGTGTTCCGCATGCGATTGCTTGGTGCCAAGGTCGTTGCTGTCGAGGCTGGCAGCAAAACCCTCCGAGATGCTGTCAACGAGGCTCTCCGTGCCTGGGTCGTCGATCTTGATACCACTCACTACATCATTGGCTCTGCTATTGGACCGCATCCTTTCCCCACCATTGTCCGTACTTTCCAGTCCGTTATTGGCAGGGAGACGAAGGAACAAATGCTTGAGAAGAGAGGCAAGCTCCCTGACGCCGTTGTGGCTTGCGTCGGTGGTGGCAGTAACGCTGTCGGCATGTTCTACCCCTTTGAGAACGAGCCCAGCGTCAAGCTGCTCGGTGTCGAGGCCGGTGGTGACGGTGTAGATACCGCACGACACAGTGCTACCCTCACTGGTGGCTCCAAGGGTGTTCTCCATGGCGTAAGGACTTACGTTCTCCAGGATAAGCATGGCCAGATCACCGAAACTCACTCTGTTTCTGCCGGTCTAGATTATCCCGGTGTCGGACCCGAGTTGAGCTCCTGGAAAGACAATGAGCGAGCTAAGTTTGTTGCCGCCACTGACAGCGAGGCCTTCCTTGGTTTCAAGCTCATGAGTCAGCTTGAGGGTATTATTCCTGCCCTTGAGACTGCTCATGGTATCTACGGTGCCATTGAGCTTGCCAAGACAATGAAGAAGGACGAAGACATTGTCATCTGCGTGAGCGGCCGTGGCGATAAGGATGTGCAGAGCGTCGCCGATGAGCTACCTAAGCTCGGCCCGAAGATTGGATGGGATCTCCGTTTCTAGATTAAAAAAGCGATACCATAAAGTGGATTTAATAGCAACAGTTGGAATTATAGCATGAACAAAAAGTCTTATTTCTGCTCGAATCTGGCACGATGATGATAAAAAAGATTTAAAGGCATTTGAAATGGAGTCTTTTGGTACATATTATACATAAAACGTTTTACACTGATATCCTTTGCGTGTCCTTCGATGTCGTCTCGGAACCGGCCTCCGCGTTTTCCAACTCCTTGAGCAGCAATGCCTCATCTTCATCTGATAGTTCTTCAATGCCCTCCAAATCGGCCAGGTCCTCTTCGCCCAACACAAACTCCTGTGCCATAAGTTCGCCCCGGGTCGCCTGACTGCGTTTGCTCAAGGGACCGGGTGTGGCGACATCGAGCGCATATTGGATGATATCGTCTCTATCCTCGATTTCTTTGGGCTCCATGCCCAGTGCAACACGCTCGGCGTTGAATTTCTTCTGAATATCCTTGGATTGCATAAGAAGCCACCTCAAGTTCCAGCCACCGGGGCCGAGCTCCTTTATCCTGGCGGGCTTGCTTTTGAGTAGGTATTCCTGGAGGCCACCCTCGCGACGGATGGTTTTGAGAACGCGGAGTGTAAGACGGGTCTTGACGTTGGCATTGAGGGCGGGTAGCTTGAAAACCTTGACGTGGACGTTCGGGCGCCAGAAGCGGCGGGCCTTGTTGTTGTATTTCTCCGCAACAGTGTTACCGAATCGAATTCTTGCGGAGCCATAAAGACCCTTGTTGGATTGCTTATAGACTTGACGCTCGCCATAGGGATACGGAGGAATGAGACGGCCAGGTAGAAGGTGTGACTTGATCGTCTTGGTCTGCTGAGGGAGCGTTGTGCTGAAAGCCCGAGCGGGAGTTACTGGCGATGATGAAGCCAGGGCCCTCAAAGCCGGCCGCGCGGGGGCCCAGGATGTCATGATATCAGTCTCGGTCTCTCAGTGAGTATTCGATATGGACTTTTCCGGTTATAGATGAGACATTGGCCTCAATTGACGTCGGAGTAGGCGGGTATGACTGCCCCGTTCGAGATGGGCTGATCGTCGGCTGTACCTCTCTTACTCTATACTTACCTTAACTTTCTGGCGTTGAGAATTTTGGAGTATCCTCGTTCGGAGGCGGCTGATGTTCCGGCGCCGGGAACAGTGATCGATCATTGTCCAATCAAATGATTTGGTGCTGTTGTTCAACCTAGCTCCACTACATACAGCTTCACTAACACAACAAACCACCAAAGAGTACCTTAGTACCTATTCCAATACAAACCGAGCGGAAGCAGGCGAAGCTGATATGCAGTAACAATGTTTCCGCCTGTTGAGGAATCGGTTCTTCAAAACAATTCTGACTTCGCCAATTTATATAAGAAACTTACTAATGTGGTGCTCAACCCAGATGGGTCAACGCAGAATGACCCTCGAGCTAAAGAGCGGGCTTCTGTTAGAGAGGTAAGAGGTCTCATTCTTGATTCACAAATCAACGAGAGAAACAATTTCTCACATTTCAGGTCAGGAGCTTGAACGTCGGCGTCTGATCTCCGCGAAACAACATCTTCTTACTTGCGCTATCTCAACAGCAACTCCGTCAAGCACACCGCCTGCGACAAGAGCATCATCTCGTCTACGGGTCCCTCAAGGTCAACAAGCAGGAGACTCGAGGTCTCAACAGCAACAGCAACAGCAACAGCAGCCTTCACTTCCGGAACCACTCCTCGACCTCTTAATTGTTCTCCCTCCACTTCTCGACGCCAATAACCCGCCTCTTCCTCAAGATACCCTCCAGTTATTATTTGCCCACCCTCCCCTTTCAGAACTTGAGACGCTACTTCCCACGCTGGCGCCCATCATCGCTTCGAACCTACGTACATGGGCACTAGGCCTTGCCCGGATCGCGCATCCTTCTACAAACCCTTCCTTCCTACACCGTCATATATATACACTGCCGAGTACGTTATCCAGCTGGCGCTCTGACCTCGCCGCCGCCGAAACAGAACTCAGCTCTCATCGTTTACGCTCCCTTGCCGCCTTGGCAACCCTTCTTCAAACCGCTACGAATGCGTTGAGTCTTTTGGTGCGCGCTCTCGAGGTCAAGCACGGTGTCATAGCTCGTAGCCTAGAACTTCGTGCTGCAGAAGTCTCCCTCCATGCACGCCGACACGACGCCGATGCCGCTATCGCCGCTGCTTCTGTGCGTCGTGCGGTATATACCCCTGAAGCAATTACTGCTCTTAAGAACTATGGTGCTCATTTGCGCGATGCCAAAATGCGAGGTGAGGAGCGCGTTCGCGGTTTAACAGCTGAGCTTGGAGAGTATGGGGTTGGTGTTGATGGCGAAGAAGGTAAGGAAAAGAAGATGAAGGAGATGTCCAGAGTGTATCGGGAAATGACGAGGCAGATGGACGACGTAAAAAGAGATCTCGACCGACTTAATCAGGGATGAGTAGCGATGTTAATTCTTAGACTCAATAATAGTTAGACTAATCACACTTTACAAAAGAGCATGGCAGAAAATGCGAAAGACTTTGTACATGTATAGCCTTTATAGTCATCGGATAGCCTAAATGGCAGCGCATTTCACCTATCCATATCTGGTGTGAGGCGCTGATAGGGTAGTCAGGTCCAACACGTTGGGTTTCGTGTGTTATATTCAAGCTACTCGTACATGTGTTTTCAAGCTATCTTCGTCTCGTCATTAGTTTGCCACGCTGGACACACGATCTAGACTCAAGACTTGGGTATTTTCAGTCCATCCGTCTTGACAGCTTTCTAATCGTAGCTGTCATGTTGTATTCAAGACGTCGCCTGTTGGGAGCGACGCTGGCCTCATGAACACACATTCTCCTTTTTGCTTCAGCTGGTTCTTTTCTTCTTCTTCTTCTTCTTCTTTTTTTACATTTAACCCTTAACCTTGTAAATGGCCTCAGCGAGACGGCCAACATTCTCAGAAGTGATACCAGCAACGGAGATACGGCCGTCCTTGGTGGCATAGACAGAGAACTCCTCGGCAAGACGGGTCATCTCCTCAGCAGTCAGACCAGTGTATGCGAACATACCAATTTGACTGGTGATGTGGGACCAGTCGTGCTTAGAGCCAAGCTTCTCAAGGTTCTCCTTGAGGAGAGCACGCATGGTGATGATACGGTCAGCCATCTGCTTAACTTCGCCAAGCCACTGCTTGTAGAGGGTAGGGCTGTTGAGGATCTCGGAGGCGATGCGAGCACCGTGGATGGGAGGGTTGGAGTACAGAGGTCGGATGAGAATCTTGAGCTGGGAATCGACGCGCTTCTTCTCGTCGGCGTCGGCACAGACCATGGAGAAAGCACCAACACGCTCACCATAAAGACCCTTTTAAAAAGTTAGCGAGATGCTCATAGTTACTTAACCATATTGCAGTTTGTTCAAGACGTACCATGTTTTTGGCGAAAGATTGGCAAAGAGCAATGTTGTGGCCCTGCTCAACGAAATGGCGAACGGCGAAAGCGTCCTTGTCAGTGTCACCACTGGCAAATCCTTGGTAAGCCATGTCGAAAAAGGCAAAGTGACCCTTGTCCTTGACAACATCGGAGATCTGCTTCCACTGCTCCTGGCTGGGGTCAACACCAGTGGGGTTGTGAGCACATGCGTGGAAAAGGAAGACACTGCCGTTGGGAGCAGACTTGACGTCGGCGATCAGACCCTCGAAATCGAGTCCGATGGTCTTCTTGTCATAGTAGCGATACTGCTCAACCTCGAGGCCGGCGTGGTTGAAAACAGCCTTGTGATTAGCCCACGAAGGCTGAGGAATGTAGATCTTCTTCTCGCCAGGGAAGAACTTGGCAAGGAAGGCAGCGCCGACACGGAGGGCACCGGTGCCAGAGATGGTCTGAGTGATAGTGATGCGGTCCAAGGCGGGGTTGTTGGCACCATAGGCCAGCTTTGCGGCGGCAGGAGGGAACTCAGGAACACCAGTAATGCCGGCATACTCCTTGTTCAGCTTGGACTCGACGACCTTCTGCTCGGCCTCGCGAACGGAGGGGAGGACGTAGGGCTTGCCAGCGTCATCGCGGTAGGCACCAACACCTGTATAGGAACCGAGTCAGATCAATTCGAAAGATAGCGAGATACCTCCGCATTCGGGGTCAGGTGGGGATGACGTTGCGACATACCCAAGTTGATCTTCTTGTCGAACTTGTCGGCCTTGAAAGCTTCAGTAATACCTGAAATATGGAGTCAGTACAATTGTTGGGTTGCCAGAACGTGCTTGGACTCTGGCGCAACAGATTGCGTATCCTGAGTGACGAGGCGCATAACACTAAGTGGGAGTCATCGTACGTACCAAGAATAGCCTGTTGTAAGCAAGAAGAAGGAATTGATTAGCGACAAGACTCGCGCACAGCTTGTTGTACGAGAATTCCACTTACGTCCTGCAAAACGTTAGCATAAGATCACAGAGAAGATACGCGCCAGCAGTGAAGAAGCTCATACAGGAGGACCCTGAGGGACGTTGGCCCAATTGGAGGCAGCGCGAATGGCAGCCAGGTTGTACTGGGCGGGACGGGCAACCCGGCGACTGGCGACTCGGAGAGTGGACAGCATTGTGAAGGCGATGATGTGGTAGATTGGTGATGAAGGAGAGGTTGAGGAGAGTGGAAAGATTGGAAAGAAGATGAGGAGGAGGAGGAGAGGGGAGAAGGAGGATCACTTGAGGCGATTCTATGGCGGAGAGTGACTAGGCGGGCATGCCCAGCCCGGTGTCTATAGGTATTTTGTCGATCGGGCCTCTTCGGAGATAGTTTAGAGCAGCCATTATCCAATCATGTGCCAGTCTTTGCTTCTCGACCCTTAATATATGGGGGGCTCAAGGTAGCTCCCACATAATGAGCTCACTTGCAACAGGGCATTCTAGTGGGGCTACCCCGGACATCGGCGTGTCTGGAATCCATCCAGGCCACAACAATCGATTGATCCTTCCTTCCTGCGACGTACAGTAACTAATTACAATGTACAGTACCTAGGTACCTACCTACCTAGGTAGTGAGGGCTCAGGCTCCTGCGTCAACGTATGGACGTCTCTGAGTGGTGCGCCTGAGGCGGCTGATTTGGGTTAGATCCATACCTAGGTAGGTACGCTACCTAGCCAGCTCAGGCTGTTGATCCTTTTATCCAGCATATTCCATTTAGACTACCTAGGTACCTAACCTAACATAGTACCTACAAGCAACTCGCAAGTACGGATACAGATGCATATTGTTTCCATTTGCCGGGTAGCATGATCTGAGCTCCAGAAGCCCGGGATCTAGCCAACCTTGCATCTTGGCGGCTTGGTTCAGGGTCATTTGCACATGTCAGAGTCCTGGCTCCGGAATACCGATCACTATCGATACGCGCAGTCTTTTTTTCTCGCTGAAAGTACTAGTACATATTATCGATTCAATGAAGCGCCGCAGGCATCCATTTGTCAGGATGCTCTTCAATGTGTGAGGCCTTACCGAGAAGTATGTAGGCCTCGCCAACCGTCGGCAACTACACCCCGATCCTGACCTGATGGAGAAGGCAGTCAATTCTTCTTCCAGCCGCCCGGTCGACTCCGGCTTGTTTGCCGCGCATCCCTTTCTGGGTCTTCCGCTGAGCCTGGACATACAGTAGTTATGGATGTCAGTAGCAGCGGGTCCGCTGTTACAATAGTAAACCCCGACTATCACGCCAGAACATAAAGCTTGAGACAAAAGCTTATGGTGCAAAAAACAAATGGTCGACGAACCGGCATGTCCCACCACAAACTTGCCCAGCTATTCTTGCTCGTGTGCGGTCAAAGCCAAGTTTTCTGTTACCCCTAGCCTCGCAAATCATGTACAAGCATCGACATGAACTTTCCGCTTGTCCAGAGGCTACTGCCGCTGCTGCCCCTCCAACCGCCAGTTAGCTTGTGCCTTGCATCAAGCTCTGTCTTCCTACGGACTCTGTATTGTGCAACGGCTCCGTCCTCGTGACCGGCCCGGTCCCGTTTACTATACCAGTCACTGTTCAAACGTTTCTTCTCATGCGATATCGCTATCAAATATTATGAAACATTGCAACCCATCCTCGAGAGACGATTTGTTCAACGGAGGACCGGCTTTCTCAAACTACAATGACCAATATCATAGGTATCAAAGCGAACTAGAGCATAAACATTCAGAGAAAAGAAGAAGCTATCATTAATTCGATTATCATATACCTTCTACGGCATGTCGTTCCTTTTAGCTTTGTTATCCTGAATTCAAACTATATGGGTTTTACCCCGAACGCCAACGCCTCGATGATGCAAACGCCAATGCCGACCGAGATCCGAGATATCTCCTTAACCTAGATCTCTCTATATCGCATGCGGCACAGCTCAGATGGCCACGAAAACGCTTCAGGGGTAGATTCACCCGACCCTGAGGCATGGGGTCCCTTTCTCTGCGCACTGCCTGAGTCGAAGTTTCATGAAGTTGAACCGCTGCTTAGTCTTCAATATCGATTATGCTTTGTTGTGAACTTTCTCGGACGGTGCATCCCCGAGCTCCTCGTAACGGTTCATGACGTTCTCCTCGACTGTTTCATGGAATACATCCACTTCAGTCGAGGCAAACTTCCTTGCGCTGATGCCTCTCTCGAATAGAACATCAAGCTCTGCGAAGGTGCGACCGCTCGGTTCCGGCAGTCGAAAGAAGGTGTAGATGATGCAGAGGAAGCAAATCCCGCCCTAATCTAGCTGTTAGTAACATAGAATATTCATCTAGGGTTGCCATGACTGGCTACTCACCCAAAAGAATCCTGCATAATTTCCCCAGTCCCAAGCTGTAGGGTTAAGCATGTAGGGCGTCAAAACACTGTTGATGATTCCAACGACGTTGCTTCTCACACGTTAGCTACTTCGGCCAATGACTCGAACGTGTCACAGGATGACTGCAACTTCAGTCCTTGCGAATGGTTGTACTTACTATAGATTGCGGCCGAGCACAACCGTCTTGATTTGCAAGCGACGAGAAGACAATTCTCCGACCAGAGAATAACACACGGTGCCTATAGTCAATTGGTAAAAGAGTGCCCATATGATCATCATACAGCCTGTCGCCAACGAAGATTGACTCCGATGGGCCTCGGGTACTAAGCCAAGAAAACCCATGATGAGTAGCATCGAACAGAGGCCACAGAGGCCATAAAGTACCAACGACCTTCTACCGATTCCCAAGCTCATAAGCCCCCAAGCACCGAAGACACCTGCCATGTTGATACCATACTGGCCAAGGGCAAATGAATATGCCTTGTCAGCTGAGAGCCCAGCCTGTTCGAGGAAATAGGTGGAATAATTGGAGAAAGAATTGCCGCTCAAATTTTGGATGGCCCAGATCATGCATACGATCTCGGTGCGCCGAAGGTCGGTGCCCTTGAAACAGTCCCAGTAGGATGCCCCTGCTGTAATTTTCTCTTCCAGGGCAGTGGTGTGCACCATCATGGCGATGGTTTCGTCGGCATCGAAGTCAGTCTCACGGTCAAGACTGGTTAAGCGTAGCAGAGCTTCTTTGGCATCTTGGTTACGGCCTCTTCGGACTAGCCACCAAGGCGATTCGGGAGCAAAAAAGATGCCGATTAGGAGTGGCAGCGGCCACATCCACTGGAGAGCATATGGAATACGGTACGCCCACTCATCATCACGTTTCAGCATGGAATGAATGACCCCTATACCGATCTCCTGGCCCAGACCCCAGCAGAAATTGACGTATGTGGTCAGGTAGCCTCGCAGGGCAACAGGGCAGACCTCGGATGCATATGTGATGGTCAGGGTTTGGAAAATGCCCCAGGGGATACCGCAGAGAATCTCGGCCACGAGCAGAGTCTGAACATTCTGGGCAGTGAAGAAGATGGTCGTGAAGCCTGCCACACAGACAAGGCAGGCCATGACAGTGTAACGATAACCAAATCGTTCTGAAATCCAACCATTGATGAAAAGACCAATGATCTCACCGCAATGGGCTCCCTGTTTGCGTTGGTCGTGAGCGTATGAACTGGAACCTGCAGCAAAAAGACTTACATTACTCAGGCCAGCCTGCCATGGGGCTGGCACTTGGTACTCTCCATTGTCACCCATGACACCGTACTTTTTGTTGAACTGCGGGAATGCATCTAGACACAGGTGTCAGCAAGACATGCACACGAGTTCCAATACCAAATCAAGGAGATGGACATGGGATCGTCAAAGAAGAGTTTTGGGACATACAGAAGTTATTAACAAGGGAGATATCATATCCCTCCATTACAATACACGTCGAGATGAGGACACTCCAGAAGATAGCTTTGGGGTAGAGCTTGATGCCTTGGCGAAGGGTCATGTTGCGCTCCTTATGAGCTGCGGCGCGGGCGTGTTCGACGATGTTAACGTGCGTCTTGCTGGGGCCCTGGCTGTCCATGCCGCTCGGGACATCAGCGGTTATGTCTGATGGCGGGGCCGTAGCCGGGGCCGGCGACACCTTATCTTGAGTGTCGGCCATGGCTTGAGCTGTTTCAGTTCCAAGGTGCGGCACCCTGCCTATCAAGGCTGGAGAAGACAGCAATGATAGCAATAGCGATGGCACCTCAAGATACAGTAGCCGTAGCCGGAGCCGGTCCAAGTACTTTGCCTGAAACCAGATCCCAAATGTCTATAGGCGGTGTTGGACAGACTTGAAGTTGGACATGCGTAAGGGAAGTGTAACTTCAAACGGGTCAACCAAAAGACAAAGACAAAGACAAAGACAGAGGCAAATGCGATCGACAATGAGATCAACGAAAGACTCTTGACTGATATAGTACACCACCTGCACAACGAGTACGCAGCAGTGACAAATGTTGGGCAAAGCAGAGAGAGGACACAGAAGTGAGAAAGTCTGATCTGATGGGGTATGGGAGGGACCTTCCACTGGTAAAAATGGAGCCAGAGGTTGACGATTTTTATCCTAGGGGCGGATGGTCGGATCAAAGCGGGACGAGCCAGCCATGCCAGACCGAGTATGGCAGAATCATTAAACAATGGAGTACAAAGTCTGGAGCGGGCACGCAATTTCTCTCGGTGAAGAAACAAACAAACACGCAACCCCAATATCTCAGCTCAACTCAACTCAACCGAGTACCTCCTATGTGGGTCATGAAACTACCTAGAAACTCTCGAGAAACAACTTTGGGCATACAATAATGAATGCTTCTTAGTCAAGAGTTGTTAAAGTAGGTACGAACTACTGTAGGTAACCATGTTGATCAAAACAAAGGTCTGATAACTGATGGAACTTCACTGATTGCGGAGCCTCATCAACGCCCAGGAGCTAGAACAATTGGCGACCAGTTAGCGCCATCAAATCTTGCAGACCCCTGGAGCTAGCTAGGTACCTGGGTGTCTGAGTACTGGCATAATTGGAGAACTCTTTCCACGACCGTGGTGAGGCCGATAATTGCTCACCGACCATTTCATACTGTCTCTGAGGTTGGTGGCGAAAGATTACTATAACCTTGTCATAGTTGAGCTACATGGTAAGAACCTCTCGATCGTCTGGTCTGGAGTATATTCTATATTCTATGCTCTATCTATATGTCAATCACATTGTCAAGCGCTACTACAGCAGTCGGAGACGAGTTGGAGTCAACTTAGTCCAAACCCCCAAAGCCAAGACTCAGTCGACTCCACTCTTGACTACGAATCTACTAACTACAGTATCTATTATCCATACTACCTACTAAGGTAGTAAACACTTGAAGCGAGGATATCAGATCAATCTATTCGAACTTAGACTATTTCTTTCTACTGTCACGTAATTTCTGCGCCCAAATTCGAGATTCCAAACTTAGAAAGATATAAAGGCAATGGCAAGTAGTAGAGCGAACAATGAGCTCACACAATGTTTTGCCTGAGATGCAGTATCTTCCTCATCATCCGGTTTCTTTTTACTACCAGGGCGGCCGCTTGGCTCTTCGTCAAAAGGTTGTGGTTTCAATTTCCAAATGCTGCTGCTATTGCCGTTGAGTTTACCACTTGCAAGGTCGACGATGGCTGTCGAACCAAGAGTCTTGCCGCTTTTACTGACGGCAATTGCTCGGGCGGTCTTGGGAAGCGATAGTCCTAGCCCTTCCAGGCCGATTTCAGTTTCAAAGCCGACTCGAGATGAGTTCGAAGGAGTCTAGGAGAAGAAGTGACATTCTTCTCGTCTTCACCCGCATACTGTCATAGAGTCAGCTCTCTTTTGTCACACAGTTAGTTTCATGGTAACATACCACCTCCCAATGATGAACCTGGGTATCGCCATTCCAAGACACATAGATGCTAACATCTGAGCCATCGTCTCCCGGGGCCGACGAAGTGATAGAAGGGCCCCATGGAGGCCGGCCAACCCACTCCATCTTCCATGCTCGATAAACAGGCATGTCAGCACCTATGTCGCTTTCGGGGATGTACGGCACCGCTCCTCGTTGAATATCCATGACAATCGTACCGTCGGGCGCATACTCGGTAATCCCCGGATTAGCCCCCCAACCGACAAGGAAGTTTCCATTGTCTAAGCCCTGGACACTACCTCCCGAACCAGAGTATACTTTCTGGGGATGAAGAAACTCATGTAAGAGGTGGACTGTCATTTTATCGTAGTCGAGTTCCACAACAACGCCTCGAGAACAATTGTCCCCGTTACACAATCCCGTTTCAGTGCCCTGGTTGTCAAAGAAGCTAATCCGGCTCTCATTTCCTTGAACAAACTTTGCGTCATATTGGTTAGCGAAGTTGGTTGCGCTGCCACCACTGAGGTCTTTGAACTGGTTGTGCTTTCCTCCAAGAATCCATTGCGGATCAAGTGTATCAGCCTGCAGAAGAATTATTGCTGATAAACCCCTTGATGAGACGAGATAATGGTTCTCCGAGGTCTGGTTCCTGTGAGCACAAGATCTATGAGGATTGGAAAATGACTTGCCTTGGAAACACTGTCTATATGAAACCAGTCAAACCCATGGCTACTCATGAATGTCGTCTTTGGGTTGTACTTGACCATGGTATCAGTAAGATTGACATGGGTGAATGATCGCCAAACGCTGAAGACTCTGTCGGTCTCGAGGTCTACCTCTTGAAAAATAGAATCGCTCAGCCAGCCGTCCATCTCTCCGCCGAGAGCAGTCAAGTTGTACCTGATGTCCTGATACGCAGTTATAAGAGCATTTCCTTGAGTAGTGAACTCGCAGTCATGGATGTTGGCGTCGGTAGCTCCTAGACCGCGGATTGAAACTGTCCATCTCTTTTGGTAGTTGGCGTTGAAGGCGTGGCAGCGTCCACTCTCGATGAAGGTGAGGTACTTGCCCCCATTTCTCACCTGCGCACGGGCATCAAAGGTTGTATTATACCTGATATCGGCATACACGAGGCTCAGATCTTTGCTTGAGAAGATGGCAGGTCCTGACTTGTCGCCATGTTCTATAGTTAGGAAGAGAAATTCAGAAGCATCAACACGATTGGGCTCAAAAGTGTTAATTTGAAAGACGGGGGCAACAGCATCTGAAGACTTGAAGGTCTGAAAAGGAAATTGGCCAATGAAGCCATTGTTGTACGCCTCCAAGTCGCTGATCGGAGCCACGTCTGCAAAGGACAAAGCAGTCAGCAAAGCGATTACTATCGTTGACACCAAAAACGAGAGCATGTTAGGAGAAAAGGCTGAGTGTAGAGACGAGACATGAGAGACGAGAGGAGCACTATGAGACATAGCAGCCAGGAGAGAATAACAAAGGTCCAAGAAGACTCCAAAAGTGTCGATGCACAGAGGAGAATGTTCGATGTAGGACGAGAGTTTCAAACCCATTTCACAAAGGTTCAACAGCTAACATGAGACCCGTTGTCAAGATGCAGTCGCACCCGAATAGACCTCCCTCCTCTTCTTCTTGTACCTTCCCAATATCGGGGCGAGGAACTGCCATATTTAAGGCAGGAGCAACCCAAGACCTTCCATGATTCCCAGAAAGTGCAACATTGAAGCATCCAATGCCTTCCTACACGCCTGCTTATAAAATTTCTTTTACCAAGGTACCTTAGTAGGCAGGCAGGCCTATAATAGGTACTTACCTAACTACGTACCGCCTTATGTTAATCACAGTAACTTACTTAAAGTGGCGAGGTTGAATTCCGTGAAGCTAGACTATACTGTACTGTACTGTACTTTACCAGAAGGGTTACCAGATGACTAAGCTTAGCTCCATCAGTTTCATTACCGTCATTACAACTTCACTCAGTTTCCATTAATCTGTCAACCTACACTGCAACTTTTCTTTTCGTGCTTGATCGCTAGTTTTCGATTCAACTTAAACTTATGCAGCTGGAAGATGTCTCCACCATTCCGTCGTGCGCCTTTTGTCTGTCGTTGCTGCCTCCAAGCATCGCGCCGGTCTATGACATTGCCACCCATTCACTACTCAACGCAAGCTGGCGCATCTAAAACGAAGGATCAGCAGTTGGAAGACACGACTAAAGATGAGAAGCAAGAGGATGATATACCGGTGTCTGAGAAAGAACTAGGGCCGATGGCTCGGCGTCTAGAAGAAGCCACAGAGGAAGCTCTCTTCACAGGCGGAAGGGCTGGACGCCGAGCTGTAGAGGATGCAGGATTCTCAGATGAATTAAAGGAACGGCTTCTGAACAAGATTGCCGATGCGCAGTTCAAATCGGAAAACGCTAGTGCCTTTGCAGAAGCCGGTCTCTCATCATCTGTGGGTGGAGGCACGCGGCATATTGCCTCTGCGCAGGCGTGGGCAGGGGAGGAACATACGGCAGACACCGTACTCCGAATGTTGGACGATGCCAGAAAGCCTCTTGCTCCAGGTTTAAGGGGCAAATACCAGCCACCACCTGTGGATATGCGATTGCAGAAACAGCCGAGACGGTCCCCTGGAGAGAAGGTAGCCAAAGCTAGGGATAGGGTCAATACTTACGTAGGTATGGGGGTCCAAAAGCCAAATAACGGTATGAGCGAGGACGAAAAAGAAGCATGGCGAAAAGAACTGCAAGAACGCTTTGAGCCAGGGGCGAGAGCACTGCCAAACTCAATCACAGGTCTTGCCGCCCTGGCAAACGAACGTATCGAGAACGCCATTGCGAGAGGACAGTTCAAGAACATACCCCGAGGGAAGGATATCGAGCGTGACTCGCGTGCTGATAACCCCTTCATCGACACGACAGAATATATCATGAATAAGATGATTCAACGACAAGACATCGTCCCACCGTGGATAGAGAAGCAGCAGGAGCTTGCAAAAGAGTTGGGAACGTTCAGAGGCCGACTGCGCAATGATTGGCGGCGATTTGCGGCGAGAATGATTGCTTCCAGAGGAGGCTCGCTGCAGGATCAGGTGCGTAGGGCGGAAGAGTATGCAGCTGCGGAAGAAGTGCACAACCCAGTTTCACAGAAGAACGCCTTTGGGCAAGTACACGACATTAAGACTGCTTCACCCATGATTGGAACACCTTTCCGCGACTCGGCCTGGGAACAAGCTGAATTGAGTTATCACAAACTATCGATCGAGCGTCTTAACGCTCTGACGCGAAGTTACAACCTCATGGCGCCGGACTTGGCAAAGAAGCCGTATTTTTCCCTCGAGCGCGAACTTAAGGCATGTTTTGCTGAAGTTGCGCCCACGATCGCTCAGGAGATCCAGGATCGTGCGACCGGCGGAAAGGCGAGGAGCTTGGGTGGGGGAGGTCAAGCAGGTAGGCAAACTAGCTTATTGGAGACATTGGCTGGCGGAGATAACGTCAAGGTTCATGTCGAGGCTCAAGAGAAGGCATACGGACTAAAGGAATGGTGGAGAGACGTGTGGAAGAAGACCTAAGTTCACCCACTTCAATCTAAAGTGTACGACTGATACGTGTAGCATGGAAAGCTGAACTTGTAAGTCGTTCTGAAGTTGGGTTGGGAAATTCATGATGAGATATCAGTCTTTTGTGTACGCTCTGTCCTATCTCTGATGTTCGATCCACGGCGCTCGATATCGTTCAAAAGTATACATGAAGTTCGAAAAGAATATGAGTACTTAATCCCCGTAGACAATTCCGCCGGCATCATTAGTGCCTAGCTTTTTGTTTCGCCTCCTAACGCCCTTTGCACGACCTGGGCCCAAATCTTGGGGCCGACGGCTAACACATATTCTATAGAAATATATATATATCCTACCCTGACCCAAACTCCTCATTCCATTATGTGTTTGTGCAATCCTTTCTGTTTCGTTACGCTATGTATGTCAGAAGGAGCGCAAGAAACGGGTACTATCTCCTAAATTCGTCCTTCTTCAAGAACCTCTCGTTCTATTTCAACCTGTCCAGATTCCCCCGTGCGTCGTCGCTCCATGACCCAACGCGTTGCGCCACTATCCTCTTCTTTAGTGTAAGATATACTGTCGGCCGAGCCTCTGTGACGGTGTCCCATGCCGGGGCGCTTGGGAGCCCCGCTGGATTCAGCCATACTGACCCTGTTGGACGCTTCCAAGGGACTCACTAAAGCTGATGCCGGCATACTCTCATCTGGATCCGATACTGGTGAAATCGGGTTGTCATAAGAATTCGAGGCGGGCCTGCTGACGTTGAGAGGGGGTATCTGAGCATCCTCTTTGACACCGGTTTCGAGTTTAGTTAGCGTCGGAACAGGAGGGGGGGACAGCGTAAAGCCAGGAATGCCACCTGTCAATGTCGGGCTTCCTGATGCGCTCACGCTGTCCGAGTCGTGGCTGATAGTAGACAAAATCGAGTTTTTTCGAGTGTGGAAAGTGGTTGGGCTCATGAAGCTTTGGCCCCAGGGGGAGGTGGACAGATCACCTCTCTCTGATCGAGGGGATCCGTTTTGGCTGGACACAAGACTAGCTTGAGAACCACCCCATGCCCTGGACCTAAGGCGCAGTAGGGCAGATAAAGTCATCTCGTCGCCGCGATCACCGAGGAGAGCAAGTTGAGCCAGGCCAGGACTTTGAAGGGGTGTCGTTCCTCCAAAGCCAGGCATGCCAAGGCTCATGAAAGAGTTTCTGTTTGAGTACTCGGATCGCTCCGTGATAGGCGTCAGGTTCGGCTCCCTCGATATCATGCGTCCACTGGTGCTGCGATCCAGTCCGCCCTTAGGACCGAAGAACCCACCATTGGCATACTCGAACTCCGGTCCTTGTTGCTGGCCAGCTAGGGCTGAGTAGAAGCCAAATTCCTGGCCATACCAACCATCGCAGTCATTAGCCAAAGCGCTTGCATTGGCCTCAGCGATGATAGCATCATCGTCAAGTTCCAGATCGGCCATGTTCTCGTAGGAATCATTGTAATCATCATAACTTTCATAGTCGTCCTGTCTAAAAGAGCCGTCGTGACCTGGTGTGCCTGGGGAATGATCTGGCTCGGGTAGATTGATGTCTACGGGCGGAGGAGATGAGCCCCGTTGAAACTTTCCTGATGCTGCCGCCTTGTATGTTGCGGCAGCAAGGGCGGCCTGGTAGGCCGCAAAAGAGTCACCGGCTGGGGACGATGACAATGGGACTACGGCTGTGGGAGCAGGGGACGATCGAAGGCCAGGGCTGTCTCGAGTAACTTCAGGCTGAACTTCTTCTTTATCATCGGCATTCAGCGATGTATGAGCCGTTGTCTTGGATGCCTCTGAGTCCGGAGAGAATGGTGCTGTCGTGTCAGACGTCCGGTTCGGTTCATCTCGGTTCTCTGATCGCTTCAGCGATTGTGCATGTGCAAAGGCACCCGCTATCGGTCGACCAAACTGATCGGTATCATTATTGTCAAAAATCGACTCGTCAAAGGGGGTATCGTCCCATTCTGGAGGGGCAGCGAGATCCTCGGCGAATTCGTTCCTCTCGAATTCCAACATCCCATCGTCGTAATAGAGCTCGTCATCGTTGAGTGAGCGCCCCGTGCTTAAAGGGGGCAGGTCCTGGTTTTTCTGGAATGCAGCTTCATTCTCTAAGCTGGGCACCCTTGGAACATCTAGTCCTTGAATCCCTAGCCCACCTGCCTGCATCTCTTGGTTAATGCGCTGGTCATGGGGGTGCCTTGGAGACAAAGGAGATAGCTCTCCGAGCATCTCAGGCGTGTACTGGCTCATGGCAAATCCAATACGATTACCTTCGGCATCCCTTGGGGTTGGCAAAAAGCCAGCACTGCGAGGACTGGCTATCGACGATGTAGGGCCTGATCGTTGGAACACAAAGCCCGAAAAGTTTTCCTGGTCGTTATCTGGATCAAGCTCTTCGTCCAGATCTTCATCCAAGTCTCCGCTAAGTGTGTTGTTCAGATTGTTGTCAAAGGTACTCAGTGTCCTATTCAAAGTGCTGTTCATATGACCGCCCATGTGGTCATCCATGCGGTCATCCAACCCATTGCTGAAACCTTCATCCATATCGTCAAAGCCGTCGCCAACCATGGGTATATCCTCTTCCAAACCATCATCCTCCATCATCGCATCGTAATCAAAACCATCGTCGTCAAAATCGTCAAAGCGTGAGTCTCTAGGAACAGGCACGTCTGTAGTCTTCTTCTCGAGCTCTCGTTGACGGTGCCTGTCTTCAAGAAGTTTCTCCTGCTTCGCAGCACCAATCATATCAAAACTGAACCTTGAAGATGTACTCTTCATGTGTCGAGGTACAGCAGATGGTATGTCCTTACCAGACAGTCCGGACAGTGATGGGCCCCGGGATCTGCCAGCCTGATGAGAAATTGAGGGTCCGTCATGAATGTAAGCTTCCTCGTCAATCAAACGCGACGCGCGCGGCGATTTTGGTTGAACAGAGATTGGTGCGCCCTCCTTGGGAGGGACTGGGGGAGCATCTGATAATGTAAGGGTGTCTAGGTCAGACACTGGAGCCTGGGGTGCTGTAGATGCTGTACTTGGTGTCATTTTAAGGGCTCTCGAGTCCTGTGAGTAGATGGACTCGGAAGCATTGCTAGGCTCACGGGTTGTCAGGTTCGAGGCTGACAGTGGAGTTTCTTGAGTTGGAATGGCCGATGGGCTTTGGAACCTGTCTTGCGCAGGGAGAGGAGCAGACATGGGGAAAGGCGAAGTCAGGGACGGTTGCGCAGTGTCCCTGTTTGGTGTGTTCTTCTTTGGCCGTGGCGCACTGAAATCATGGACCCGAGTTCCCATGATACGAGGATCATACACCGGATCCTCGCGGCGTTTGGCCAAGGGTAATGGGCGCAGGTCAGGGGCATGCTGACTGTTTTTGCGCCTCATTAATAGTGTCGACATTGGTTTCTTGAGAAAGGGTAGCCCTTTCTTGGGCTTGGGATTTTCGGTGTTGCTTGTCGTCTGTGTAAGAGAGGGCAGCTCTGTTACCAGGCGGGTACCTGCAGGACGGCGACCGGTAGGCTGCTGGAGATCTGTGGGTGTGCTGAACGAGGATGTAGCTTTCGTATTCTTTATGACTTGTGGCGACGGCCGCAAGGCTGGATTGTTTGATGTTAATGTTGGCTGGGAGGCCGAATGTTGACCGAGAATACCAATCCCTCTTTTGCTGTCGATAGCCTCGGTGGCTTGTGCTTCCATATCACGCTGGTACTTTCTAAGAGCAACACCCCCAATGAAGGACGAAGTTTTCGAAGCTGGCTGTGGTCGGGGATCTAGTGGGCTTGTCGCCGCAGCATCTTGACGACTATCCCGCGATTTTCCAAAATCCTCTGTAGTGACACGGGATATGGGCGGTAGAGCAGGAGGTAGGGTGGAGGGATTCGAAGACGTCGGTCGTAATTCCGGAGACAGAGCATCGGGAGAGAAGGGCGTAGGGTGACCAACAGTGGGTGAAGTAGGATGTTGATCAGGGGAGGGCGAGGTAGGATTCGATGACGGCCCTCGCCTGTGGAACCGCAGATGGGACAGCATACCGAACAACCGGACTCTGTCCGTACGTCGAGGGGAAGTGAATCAAAATGTCGACGGCGGCTGGGTGGGGGGAGCGCGGAAGCGCTCAAGCTTGCGTAAGGTGACGGACCGATGCGGTACGTCGTTAGTTAGTGAGAGAAGGGCAGCGCATCCGTGGGTCAGCATCCGATGGTGTACGGTAAGGAGGGCGAGGCAAGCAATCGACACGCGCTCATAGCATGACTCAAGGGGTCGCAGTCGCAAGAGACAAGACAAACATGGTGTTCGATTTGTTCGGGCTGGGCGGAGCCGGATATCGATAGTGTGCCGCAAGGGAGCGCAGATGGATGTAACGATGACCGAAGTACAGTACTGTGCTGGGCTACCGCTGTGCTGGCTGCGGGGGAGTGAAGACGAAACGAGACCAGACGAGACCAGACGAGACCAGACGAGGCGAGATATGATGGGATGGGATGGGATGGGATCGATGGGATGGGATGGGTGTTGTTGTTGTTGTTAGTAGGAGGAGGCTGAGGCAGTCCCGGTACCAAGTGATAACCTAATCGACCCAACCTATAACATCCAATAATTAGTAGGGACGTGGTTGGTGACGGATTTACGGTTTCAAGCCATCCGATCCAAGAAGCAAGTCAAGGATAAGTTGCACGTGCATGAGTCACCTAATACAACTCTGACACACTTACAGACTGAGCGTTCTCTTGATAATACGATCATCCGTACAAGGGAGAAAATAGCAACATTATAAGACTCTCAATCCAAGGAAGAAAAATCATTGAATTGTTTGCCATTAGGTACCTACGAATCCATACTACTACCAGACCCTAGTAGTGTAGTACCCTGTATTTCTTTAGTGGACTTGTCGTCCTTGGTGGGGCCGTTATGTCGCAACATGAAAGTTATGGAACTAAGCCAGGCTTTGCGCCAGCTTTTGCGCCAGCTTTTGCGCCAGCTTTTGCGCCAGCTCTATAAAAAGAAACCCTATCCCTAGGTTCCAATTAATAGTACATACGTATCAATAATAATACAGAACAGAATCGTCCTTGTCTCTGAGTGGGTTTTCCTCAACACAAACGTCAAACAGGAATCCATACCCCTTGCTTTGCACACAAAGCAGCTTTACAAGCAGTTACCTCCACTTCCATCCATAGGTACGAAGCTTCCATTATTCTCCCTTGAGACGATAGCCAGGCTGCTGTACCTCCATATGTACGTTACTTGGGGCCTGGTCGCCATTGTTTCCCTTGTTATTATTACCTTAGGAGTTAGTACCTACCTACCAACAGAAGGAGGTAAAATCGTAGACATGGATCCAATGGCATTGCTATAAGGCACAGTTATACCAGTATTCGCTTAACTAACTAACTACTGGGTACTAAACTACTGACCTAACTTACCTACCTTTCTTCGCTTTACCAATTCTGTATAGGTAGGTAATTTCCGCGCATGATGAACAGCATTTATTATCATTAATAACTTGGAACTTATCTTAGTGGTTAATATCTATAGTAGAGTCTAAACTCTGAGATTTCTATTATCTTTCATAAAGGGAGTTTCTGTCATCATGTGCAAGTGATGATACCAGCCATTTGACAATAATTAGACTTCAGTATAGTACCTAGGTACCTACCTACATGGGCATAGATGTCAATGGTCAGCCCTCCCGCATTCCATCTTATACCATACCTTAGCATGGCTGTCAGCAATCAAAGGCTTCAGCCATTTCAAGTTAACTTGGGTACTTTGGCTTTATTATTAGAGTAAAGAAGATATCCTCAAAAATACAACTAACACTTTGAGGCGGTATAGCCAATGTCAACGATCTCTAACCAAAACAAATATTATACATACAATCAGACTGTTATATCCATGTTACAATAATTACCTGCCAGGGCAATTCGAGCTGGATACAATGAGGCACTGTAGGTTAGCAGACGGTCACTGCTCCATTTCTGACCTAATCAACTAGTTGGTATGATAAGAATAAGAATTGACAACACAGGTATCCGTATCTGCATTTCAGTTCATAATCAACATCGTTTATATTGTGTATGCAAGTCTTAATTACGGACCTAGATAGCTCATTGTCTATTACCCCGTTATTCAGTTGAGGTTACCTCTAGGTAGCCGAGCACTCCGAACGTGGGGAAGCGAAAAATGACGTATTCGCTATTGGATTTGTACCTCCACGGGCTGCAATTCAGTGTGGTGTACTCTGTAAGTATGTACCTACCTACTGTAACGAACCGTCTACCTTAGTAAGTAGGTACCTACCTATAGGCAGGTAACCAATCGGTCGGGTGCATCGTTACAATTTATTCTAGCCGTCTCCTCGTGGTTTATTGCCGTTTACGGTGGGCAAACACCCTCTCTCTCTCCCCACACGAGGCGACACCGGATATCTCTGACGGCTGTCAGACTGTCAGTCAAATCAATCTAGACTACGGATACGGATACCTAGAGTTGATGACCCAGGGGTTGGCCGCTTGGCATATGCCCGTGTTGTGCTCTCTCGTGGCTGTGGCTGTGGCCGACTCCACAGCTGACGACGCATTTCTTGGGTGCAATTTACTAGAGCGAAGTCGCGAATTGAATTGCAAACAAAGTTATCCATTCTCTTGTGAAGAGAAGAGGAGAGGAGAAGAGAGGAAAGTGGTCTGCCACGGATGACGAGGCCGGAAGACGGCATCGGGATGTGGGTACAACTAACGACCTCGATGCAAACTCCAAAGCCAGTGGAACAGCCAGCAGACGAGATTCACCAGATTACTCTACTGATACTGTACTCTACTCTACTGTAACCAAGGACTTGGCCACGTTGAATTCCACAATAAAGCAAGGATTCTCTGATCCTCTTCCTTGTCTGCCCACGTTCCGTGATACCGAGTTCACCTCTTGGCTGAGCAACTGATGACTCTTGGCGGCCACCGTTGGGTTTGGGTTCGTTCGGAGCTTTGTTTATTAACTGTTTAGGCGATCAGACTAAAGATAAGTCGCTTACCCCCCGCTGAATACTTACCTACACCTGCTAACCTACATCACTGCCTACCTATCTACCAGTCGCTCATGTCCGTTACTGTCAGTCGTCTTCTAGTCCAGCCTGTTCATCCAAACGCCTCGCTCAAACTTAATCACAGGGCTCTCTTTCCAACGCCTGCACTTAATCATTTGTTAGGAATAGTGCTCTGTACCTATTTACGAATTTGTTGCCTCATCACCGGATCATCGGCAAGAGATTCGATTCGCGTTCTCGCCCTTCCTTTTCCCTTTTACTCTTGCCTTAATTTCCAAACCACATCAACAACATATCTACCTATATATAGGCACTTTCTACCATCAAGTCTCAATCTCACCGCCACCTCTACAGCTCTTATACATTATGATAAACACATTATGGAAATCGCCTGCCGAGCTCGACCATCAACTTCCTGGTCGTCGTGAGAGCCAGGATTCTGTCATGAGCAGACTTGGTGGCAAGAATGTCTTTGTCTTCTGCTCCTCTCGCATATGGCGTGGAGCACCCAAGCTCTTATTCCTGATTGGTGTCATCTTTTTCACCAGTTTCCTTATTCTTGGTATTCTTCCTGATAGGCTATCTGGAGGACGACTTGGAAGTGGCTACCGTGGGATATTTCCATGGGGGAAGTATGAGCCACAGCCTGACCGAAACATGAGGATTGTTGTGTTCGGCTCGCCTGATGTTGTGGGCAACGTGAATGGTTCCCCCTCAGGGCGCAAAGCGTGGACAGAAGAGTTATGTGATGAGGTGAGAACAAAAGACCGAGACGGTCTACATTTTGCTAACCCACGATAGCTCGAATGCACTTTTTATCTATCATTCGTACCGGAGACTCAGCTAAATAGGGGTCTCATCAGCAACCGTCTCTACGACGAAACAGTCCGGGATCTCCTCAACACCACAAAATTCACAAACGTCAAGGAAAAGCCAGCGTTTGACTTCAACTATATCGACTCCCAGTATCCAACCCCCTCCGAGGTTCCCGACCTTGCTACTCAAGTAAAGAGCTTCCTCGAAATGCCGCCGCCCGAGAAGACGCCACGCGAAACCCTCTGGGTCTTCAGTTTTGGAACCTGGGAAGTCTGGAATATGGCGGCAATGCCGAGAAAAGAATCCGAAGATGCCATTACGACCATGGTCAGGCAAATTCTTGACCAGGCCGAAGTCCTCTATGAGAGATCACTCGATCCCACTTCTATCGCTTATTCTGACTTTTGGACAAACGCAACCGAGGCTCAGATTAGTGAACTGACAGCACCCGGCGCCTTGGACAAAGTCGATAGACGAAGATTCGAGAGCTTCCGCATTCTAGTGCCTATGATATTTGATCTTTCTCTCACACCCGGATGGCAAGGCCGACAGAAGCCACCGGCGCCTAACACTGTGGTGGAGCAGACTCGCAACGCAGCAGAACTTACCAAGTATTGGAACCAAGAGGTGGACTTTGCACTTGCCGAGTGGAAAGAAAGGACAACAAAGAAGCCCAAAAGGCCTACAACAGATGCTGAGGCATCGGAGATGAACAAGAGAACTGAGAGCGTCGAGTCTACTAAACATGGTGAGGATGCGAAAGAGCCAGCGAAAATGACATCCGAAAACGAACGGGTTATCCAGGCCCCATATCCTATGCGTAACGGTTTGATGGTAGATGTCGGACAGGCAGTTCTTGATGCCATGACCGAGGGCGAAATGGAGCGCGCGGCAGTTGTGGACTTGAGGGGACGGGGAACATTATCTGGCAACGACTCGATGCGGTTCTCTGATGTTTGGACACCGTGTGTCAGAGGTGACATGACAGATCTCACCATCGATGAGAAACAGATCACGCCAGAATGCGAGATAGAACATGATCATCTGTTCTATGATTCTTTTACGATCAGCGAGAGGGCCATGAAGGGCGTGATCAAGGCCATTCTGGAGGATGTCAAGGAAGAGCTTTTTAAACCAGAAGAAAAGCGAGGGTGGCTGTACGGAAGTTGGTAGTTTGGCAAGATGCCCGCGGTGGCGCATGGATTTTACTCGTCAGTTTACGTTATTGGTTGATACCCAAGATACCAGAAGGAATGGATAAGGTACTATATGATTAAGGATGGATGAGCGGTTGGCGTTTTAGGAGTAGATAACACTTTAGTCAGACCCCTGCACTCGAATGGATGTTTGTGTTTAACCTCCCGTCCGTAGTCCGAGATCCCCAGTTCCAATCTACCTACCTAATGATCTACCCGGGAAGCGGGACGCTACTTCCAGGTTGCCTAAGTACCTACCTAGGTAGTAGCCCGTAGTTTCCGGTTTGATGGCGATGCTTAAAGTACGGGTCCTAGTAAAGGCTGTACCTAGATACAGTTCAGGTCCATCCATGGTAGCAAAGGAAATAAACTTAAGTCAAGTACATCCATACTAACCCACTAAGGTAGTCCACACTGCTCCCGTCGTCTTAGGGCCTGTACATGCAGTATAAGAACATGACGTAATACGGTAATTGGATACCTATAATCCCTGTAGGTACCTTAGTACCTACAGTCGATCTATCATCGTCAGTCCTGCAAGAACTTGTTCGCCTGCGAAAAGATATGTCTGAGAGGTGGACGGACCATGATGCCAACATGAGAACATGCAGACCAGTCACATCCATAGGTAATACAGTAAAGTATTTCCCTTCAACCATCCAATCTTGGTCATTCAAGGGTACTGTACATAGCGCCCACGCGGGTACTGATCCACCCCCACAAGCCACAAGCCACAAGGCTTACTGTACTGTAGTCCGTACCTAGGAGATCGGCGGGCATGGACCTCATCCCATCCATCCACCATCACGCAGCGACGTCACAAGGGGAATTATTTAGAAACAAACAATGTTGCAGCCTTCCCTGCCAATCCAGTCCATGCATGAGGTCACGGACGCTAGGCAGTCAGTCCAGCAGCTTTCGGCAATGAAGGTCTTAATGTGCACCCCAAGCCTCCTTCTACTTCCTGTGACTGAGACCTTGGCTCTTCTGTCTCAACCATCAAGACCCTGCCTTGTGAATAAACATAAGACATTTAACGTCCCTTACAACCTGACCTGGACAACCACGCGACCTCACGGCTTCTGATACAGCCTCACTCACTGTTCCTAGGACTCACACTGAGCACGGGACCTTCTTCGCCGCCTCGAGGCAGCTTCTAAACCAAAGTTCCATACAATATATATATACTCGATTCCGCTACCTTGATTAAAAATGGATGATAAACTAGATTTCGATCCGCGCGCATTCGCAGCAGACATGCAACTGCGTACTCGAAAAGCCCGCAACTTCGACAAGGTCGAGCATGACCTGCCTGACCCCAAGTCCGCTGCCTTTCAGAAGGCGCAATCTGCAGCTCTTTCAGGACCCATAAACGTCTCAGGATGGCTTTCTCGTGTCGCAGGATGGAATCCTTTCGGCAAGGCTGTCGACGCTGGCGATATCTTGTGGCTGATGGACAACACCGCCTATCGCAACCCAAAGACTGATCAGTGGGAGGCCGAGTTCGTGGCTGCCGTCTTCGAGAACGAGCCCAAGTGTCGGGTTGCAGACATAGTGTCTGGTATCGCTTCGTCCTTGGGTTTGGCTGATGATGCTGCTGAGCGTGATATCATTGAGGAGAGAATCATTCCTTTCTTATGGGATATCCAGGCCGCGAGAGTGTTTTGGATTCAGCACAAGAAGAAGGAGATTAAGTTGGGCCCTACCAGTATCAATGGTATTACAACGAGTGTCGAGCCTGTGGATCGGAACCATAAGGGGTCGACTATCGAGGCGACAGCTCTGGTGCCACATGGAACAAATGGCATCCACGACATGCAGACATACTATGCCGGACCGGAGGGCTGGGCTGTGATATCAGGTTTGTGGTCACGACACACGCCTACCAGATATATGTGACTAACGAAAACTTAGATGTCGATGACACTATCAAAGTCACCTTGACTAGCGATCCCCTCGGCATCCTCAAGTCTACTTTTGTCGATGAGCCGACTCCGGTTCCTGGAATGCCCGAACTTCTTTCAGATCTGCAAACTCTACTACCTCGTGACACCCCATGGTTCTATCTATCAGCGTCACCATACAACCTGTACCCTCTGTTGCGTGAGTTTCGCGACCGCTATTACCCACAAGGCCAACTTATCTTGCGCGACTCGAGCTGGCGCACAGTGGCAGGTTTGCTTTCAGCCCTCACAATGGGAACTGAAGAGTACAAGGCCGATCGTATGAAGAAGATCCAATCTTGGTTACCTAAGAGAAAGCTTATTCTCATTGGCGACTCTACACAGTCCGACCCTGAGGCTTACGGTGAAATGTAAGTCATTGCTTGACTCAAGACTTTACTTGGTAATTAATTGACTGACTTTTCCTAGTTACCGTACATTCCCAGGCTGGGTCAAAATGATCCTCATCCGCAAGGCTACTGATGTTGCTGCTTTTGGAATTGATGAGAAGAACCAGCTTGAGCGATTCGAAAAGGCATTCAAGCACGTACCAGTCGAAGCCTGGCACGTCTTTGAGGATCCAAGCGAGTGCCGAAATATTGTGCGGGATGTCATTCGCAAGAGGAGTTAAACAACTTCTATTTCTATTGGTTTTGATCGGCCTTGGTTTCATGATAGACGGTGTAAGTTGGTTTACTGTATATGTATTGCTATGGTAAAGATTGATGAAGCGGCTTCAATTTTGAAGAACGGCTTGTACCTTAATTTGGAAGATTGGTCTTGTTTCAATCGGTCTCATTTCTCGTGTATCCCTTTGCTTGATCATGATACCTCTACTGTTGATCCGTTAATCATACCCATTGAGATGAACCGTCCAGTCCAGAGATTTAAATCTTATCTCGCACTTCTCTTCGTAGCGTGCCAAGTGACTGATCAAACAAAGTTGGCATGTTATGGCCCAGCATCCCTGACTGTAAAATCGCTGAGACCTGTTACGCAATTCCTTCCCTAATTGAGTCGTTGTTCTCGGGACTTGAATTCGCCATGCTTTGGACGTTGTCAGTGGGGGTTTCGTCAGTCATCCTGTTAGACTGTTCGCCATAACAGTTGGAGAGAAGCTCATTTGCATGAGTGATAACCTTGATACGACCACGCTTGCAGGGTGTTGCCTCCACCTTGATTGCTTTATCTGACCTCTCGTCCAAGTCTCCATGGACAAAAATCTGTATCTGAGCGACAGGGAGAGTCTGTGATGAGAGCAAGTTCCTTATCAGAGAACCGAACATTATGCTCTGATGATCTTCGAAATAGATTCTCATATTACTCACGTTATCAACGGTACTCGTTGGACCAAAGAGCAAACGATAGTACTCAGACTGACATAGCATATCCATTCTCCAAGGGCGATCATTCAGCTCATGGCCACGGCAAGCTGTAAGACAGCCGCACTCGGCACAATAAAGATCCATGGACTGAATCAACGATGAGAAGTGCACAAAAAGGGTTTCGAAGAACAGCACATCTTTAGGGCTGCGAAAGGATAGTATGTTAGTCTGATACAGAATTGGAAGACCCTGGAGGTACCTGGACCGTCGTTAGATAGCCACACAGACGAAGGAGAGAACATGGCAACTTACGCAGACTGACAGGCCCTGAGTATGTTCGTAGAAAGGAAAGACCACACATGACTCTCTTCTTGGTGATAATGAGGAACTGAATCACGCTTATGATGGCAGACGCAATGAACCCAGCCAGGGACTTTAGTAGGAGCTCCTTCTCGCTCATACTTTTCGTTGCTGCGACGAAGGTGAATGTGTACGAGTTTGTCCCCAAATAGTTCAGTAAAGATCATACGTTGGATCTCTATAGGCAGATTGAATAAGGAAGACTGGCCTTGAGGGGCAGTTGGGAGAGTGAATCTGGAATCGTTCCTGAACTGCTCCGCAGGCGTCAGTGGAGGAGTGTCACTTCTTCTTCTCTGGCGGAACATGAGGGATGAAAGAAATCAATCGGAAGCTGGAGGTGGGATAAGAGAGAGTTTGAAGATTGTGTCGATGGTGAGAAGAAGAATAAAAGGGATGGATATGAAGATGACAGTGGGGGGAGGTCAGATACAGATACCAGGGTAGGCAGGCATGGCAGGTAGCACAAACACCAAAAAGCAAACATGGGCATGGAAGTCGGTGCCCAATAGCACCTGCCCAGATAATGTATTCTAGGTACATGCTATTGCACTACCTTACCTTCCAATTGTACTAAGTTACTACTGCCTACTAGGTAAAGGAGAAAAGGGAAATAGAAAGTACTATTTAACGTTAATTAATTTTAACAAAAAAAGAAAGAAAACGCAGGGTATAATTAATGCGAGGCGAAATGATAGTCTTCCACCTAGTCAGCAATTCACTTGCGCAATCAATGTTTTCTCAAATATAATGGACACCCAGGTAATTAATTAGTAATGTTCAAATAGTAAGTACCTGTGGGTATATCTACGATGAAATGAGAGTCACCTGCCTATGGACTGTATACAAAGGATCCATGCAGTTACATTCGTTCAGTATATCCGCAACACAGCCGAGGAGATAAAAGGTAGACTACAGTATGGTTACAATATCATAGTTGGTCGCAGGGTGTCAGAAGAATTTGAGCATTATAAGCATAAGTGATAAAATAGTTTAGTTGTTAAATAACAGTTTAGATAAACACTCAGGTTACTTTATTTTGATAGCCTTAGCCTTGGAGGATAGTTCTTGCGTTACCAACCTGGTTGGTTTCTCGAAGTACCTAGGTAAATTTCCTCACTTTGGCAACGTCCAAGTAAGTAACCTTGGGGTTTAGTATAAAGTACATTCAGGACAGCCCGGTAGTCAACAACGATAAGAAAAAACACTATTAGGAATTTCTTTATTGTAGCCATCACCACGAACAAAGTAACATATCAACCTAGTCTGTCTCTATGTCACCATCGTCCTCCTCGTCGCTTTCGGACAGATCTTGTATACATGCGATGGTGATGTTGTTGTAAAACTCCCGTTCCAACCGCACTTCAACGGCCTCAATGATTGTCTCCCTTATTTCCAGACATGCATGAACTCTCTCGTGCCCTGCAAAGTGACTGATGAGATGATCGAGCAATCCAAGAACGCGAGATTTGCGCCTGCTTGATGTCTTGACACTGAGCTGTATTCGGTTCAAGCCAGCAGTGTTAACCCCTCGAAATGCTTCATATAGAAGATGCCGTCGAGTATAGCTCAAGTCAATATCTAGACATGAAGTTATTGTTGGGATCCCTTTCGTATAAACAAACTGGCGATGGAACAAGTCGAAGTCAATGGCTCCTCTGCATAGGAATGTATTCGTGAGATAGAGCTCTCTGTTATCCGTATCATATCTTTGAAGTGGTTAGCTCAGGCCTTCAAGTATTAGGAATGAGAAAGTGAACTTACGCCCGATGGCAACTTCTGAGAAAGTCGATGTATATACGGTCCTCGTCAGCTCTACATGCTCTGTCTAAGAGCCGGTATGCCCAACGAGGGGACTTGCTATACCTGCTCCACACTTCAATGATATGACCTCCAAAGAGAAACCTGTATATATGTCGTAATATCTCGAGTGGCAAGTCGAGGAGGTGCATGTTTTCCCGGATGCTCCTGCACGGTACACACAATCTAAGATGATCTCGTGAGGGTGCCCTGGAGATCATGTATTAGTAAATAGTGGAAGACTCCTTCTCATTTCTGTCTTAGATGTCTATGCAGTCAAAGAAATCAGAGAATGGTTGCGAATAAAGACGAGATGAAGGAAACAAAGGAAGGAGTATTCAATATAATATCAATAGACAAATTTCTGATCGGTGATGAGTGCAGCACCAAACATAAAGTATAACATGCTGCAAAAATGGAATTGTTCGATACTTTGTCCAACTAGAAGTCATACCCATATGCACTCGTCTAAACTCTGAATGGAGGTTTGGATAAAAGAAGTTCAGGACTGGCTCGTCACCAAGACAGTTTCGTTGATGCTAACATCACCAAAAGCTTCGGCAATATTGAATCCCAAGTATCCATGTTATAATCATAATAACTTGGAGAAACAGAGCTCTGTCGGCTGCATGATGAGATGGAGGTTGGGTCGAGTGCAATACCCAACCAAGTACATACGCTCGCATCCAAATCTGTGACGCCTAATTTACAGACAACCCTTGCAATGCTATATCTACTGTAACTCCATCCTCATATGTGCTCAGATATTCTGGATATGGCGGGATTCTTCCTCACCACATCTCTTCTCTAATCACCGAGGCATCCCTTGTTGCTCTACCTGCCATGATACCATGATGGGACGTCGTTACTCCTGTTGTCCGAAGGTTCCCTTTCTCCGATGGTCGAGAGCCATAGAGTTGAACATGGATGATGCTCCTACTCGTCGACTAAAAAGCGAAACCACATGGTAATCATGAAGAATCCCAGAGTAGGCACAACTAACCATCAATTCTTTACTATTACCCTTACAAGTGTCATCAGTCCAAGTCATCTATTTACCTATATTCCGTCCTCGGAAAACTCCGGCAAGCCATGCACGTACCCTTCGGCAAGACTCGGCCAAACCTTCCATTGTAATCAGCACTGGCAAGGCCGTCATTCTCTTCTTGAAATACCTGTTATGTAATCTTGTATTTTAGTGGAGTTCTTTGGTCTTCCGGCCACCGGAGCCGGAACCGGGACAATACAGTGGGAGCAACCTATCTACCTAGGTAGGTAGGTAGGTACTCGGTACGTAAATATGAGTCTGGATCTTTAACGTGCATGTATTTCCCCAGAAAGAGAAGGAAAAAGGATCCTCTTTGCTAAGATTGGCAACTATTCTAGCTAAAGTATAATCTTTACGTCGCATACAAGGGCGGCAGAACCCGGACCGGGTATATGTTAGACTGACGATAGTACCAAGATGTCCTTGGTACTATATGAAATCTTGGAAATCCATTTATGTGAAGACGTGTTCATATGAATTGAGTGTCAACTACTCAGGTACCTAGATAGGTTACAATAACGCCTTTTTGGCAAAATTCAGAGTCGTGCTAAAGCCTGTCCACCTGTCACGATAGTAAATCACACCACAGTTTGGGCAATTCTAGTAATAGTGTATAAACTTTTTTTTTTTCCTGGTATCGATATTTCTACCAAAAAGCAACTCCATTGTCAACGCCTTGGTGCTCCTTGCTCGCTGTTAAAGCTTCGCATGTAGATATTCAACTACTCTGAAAGAAATGGCACTTGACGCCAATAGAAAAGCACGGAGGTCGCAACGTTCTCCGCAGCCGGGGGGTATTCTCTGTAAACCCGACTTATTCGCTTTTTCCTGTTCTTTCTTCTTGGTGCTTAGACCAACCCCTCTGTTTGTATGACGTCCCTGGTGACTTGGTATCGTAGTGCCCTAAGTGGCTTCTCAGACAAGATACAATTGTAGCTGGAGACTGTGCCCTAGTCTGCATTGTATGTCGACGAGATTGGGTTGCGTACCCATCCCGAAGTGCACCGTGATTAGTTTGTCACTTGTGCATAGCCGCTCGGCGTCCTCGTATACCAAGTCATGCAGGTTATGCGCCAGGTGGTACTGTCCTAGCTGTTATCATGGCCTGCATGCCATTGTAGTTATTCGTTCATCTCATCCGTTTCATCCCACCGCTCCACCTATGACTCCTCGCCTGTGGCGGGAGACACATTTAACCGAAGAGAGCAGCGCCGCCAGACTCGACAGCCTCGATCTCAGCAGCATTGAGGGGAGCACGGTGGAAGCGAGCAGGGAGCTCGGAAACGTCGAAGGCAACACCCCGAGGTGCGTTGACAGAGCCCAGAGAGGCTGCGCTGCTGCCACCAAAGCCAGACTTCTGAAGAGGACCGTGCTGCTGAACGTGGTCGCGGTAGGAGCTGAAGTTCTTGTGGGACGCAGCTGCATCGCCGTTTCCGTAGCCGGACCAAGACTCGGGGAGCTTCTCGACTCCAGAGGCGGGGTGGGGCCTGGGGGTGTGGTCGACGTTGGCTAGAAAAGACAGCGTTAGCTAGAGTTGACAAGAAGACTCCCTCTCTGGACAGAACATACAAGGAATGGTTCGAGGACCGAGGAACTTGATGAGGGGAGTTCGCTCGGCGTGGATAGCGGCCTGCCGGAGGGCACGAGTGGCAGAGAACATGATGATAGCTGTGGGTAGGTTGGTGGTTGATCGGGTTATTCGGGAGATGAAGTTGTCGGGGGAATCGAGTTTGCTTGCTAAGACGAATGATTCCGGTATGGATGTAGAAGAGCAATTGGGTTTGTTAAGAAGAAGGGCCAGAGTAGAAGACGGGTGTGGGAGAGGGCGAGATTATGTATTTGAGGAATTTTTGTAGTGGTAGCCCAGCCCAGCTCGGGCAGACCAACGTTCCATGGATCAATTTGTACCGCGCCGAAGCGCAAGCGCACCTCACTCAACCCAAGCACCCTGGCACCCAACCTCAGCACACTTGCAGGGAAGGTCCCTAGCTCCGTCCCGCTCGGATGGTGCGAACTGGCCTGGGCACAAGCCAAAAAGTTGGAATCCACCGACCTACGTGAAAAAAAAAACCTCGACATGACAAAACAGGCCACAACTGGCAACCGAAGTCCACTGCACAGCGCTACAACACGTTACCCACCCTGCAGCCTTGAAATGGGGAAAAGTCAATGCCCAAACCAAAAGCAAGAGTGGGATGAGTGTATGCGGCACAGCACCAGACTAGATTACAGCCTACATACAATACCTACTGTACCTATAGTGGGTGCTACCAGTAGTACTTACAGTACGGATATATCTACGCAAATTCCGTCGACGTGGGATGTATCCCAGCTGCAGGTAGGCCGACGTCTGGTCTGAACACGGCATCCAATGGCACGGCATGGCTGCAGCCTCCAGGTCCAGGGCCATAAACTCCGCTCTCTCGCATTCAAGATGAGATTTACTTGTGACAGGAAAGCCAAGGTTGCACTCTCATTTTGCAACTCCCGAATACCGGATGGGCGCTTGAGTAAGACCTTCCACATTTGCAGAGGAGACTTAGGTTGGTCGGGATCATCCACCCTCCTTTACACTACAAACAAACCATCTTGCATGAGTCGAGTCGGCCTTTCATGCCGTCGGCGAAAATACCGTCCTTTAAACTGCACAGCACTTGGATACAGTACCTAGGTGCGCTACAACATTATGGAGTTAAAGTCCGGGGTTGGGCGAAATGGCGTGGTTCCTGATCTTGAACAACGGGGTTAAGCAACGGTCCTCCAAGGCTACAGCTTACTCTACTCACCTCGAAGGTGAAGAAAAGACCGAGCCGATTCCTGTCACTCCAGCGTACCGAACCGAGAGTTGGGGTAGCTGTCTGGAAATCTGATGTTATTTGTCCTCCTGCTACATACGGTACCCCAAAACTCCCCGTCGATGACCACCCTCTTCAGCATAGCCTGCGTCCGACACACGCACATTGATCGTCGACCATTTGCCGGCTCGACTCTTACAGTATGTATGGTACACTAGTCTACTTGGTTGGAGTAGCCTTTCGCTTCTTGCTTATAGTATCAAGTCACCCCTCCTCGCCGTTCCTCCAGGATTGACATGGAGAGACAACATGAGGCGAGCCTCGTTTAACGCGCGGGGGCAGATACATATTTCCCTTTTGGGTGAGTACATTTGTCCGGGGGCCGGCGTCCGGGGGAGACTTGAGGTTATCTGGTTGGTGGAGGATGTGGGTAGACAGGTAGGTATATAGTACGTACCTAGGTCAGTATCCAATGTGAGATACATTAGTACTACCTACTTATCCAGTAGGTACTGTAGGTGAAGCCTCGAACCACGGACAGATGGGCATTTTTACAATTGATGACGGTATGCCCTATGATACGATACATAAGTAGGTACAGATAGTGATGATGGATATCCATCCGTATATCCATAGCAGTCTTGATGAGCATGGTGGTCCTTGTCATATCCGTGCCATCCAAGCCTGGTCGTTGACGCGATCTCACCAGAGAACAAAGGCCTCAAAAACACCAAAGCAGTGACCATGTCAATGTCATTGCTGGACCCTACCTACGTAATTGAAGCGAGGCCCCTGTCGGAAAACAACGTTGTTGTGCGTCTGGTTTGCTTTAGCTGCCGCTGTATGCGGAGCGGAGAGGAGAGGAGAGGAGCGGACCTACCTAGGCTAGGTAAAGCGTAGAGAGACAGGCACATGGTCGAAACAGTAGCCTAAAGACGCCGACAGTTGAGTTTCCAGGTAACCCGAGAAGAGTCCTGATGGAATGCCGAATAGCGAATGCCAGAGATTCAATTGATTGGCGATCAACCTTCGTTTTAGTCGATCAGGGCGATATGTAGACTAATCATCGACTGATGGTTTTATTAAATTGATACACAAATCGTTCGACATGGCATTAGTCCCGTCCATTCTTTACGAACCAGAAATGTATTACTGTACAGTAAAGTAGTTCTTATTATTCCTGCTGTTGAAAATCAAAAGTTGATATCTCTGAATCAGGTTGCTGATTGACCAATCCCATGTCGAGAATCGGCTACTTGATACCTATGACAGATTGAGATTACACTTGGTTTATGGGCTGAGATACGTACCGGATCCACAGCACATGTATGCAATGGATCTCATCCCGCTTCTGTACACTTTTAGTCTATCTGGGGAGTGAAATTGGTAGGAGAATCCGACGGAGGAGGTACAGTAATTAATATCTGTTTCCTTTTGAGTCTTGAGACTTGTGAGATTGGATGTCCAGATTAATTGTAGGTGTGTATGTCAACGCGCGGCTTAGATAGGTACCTCTACAACGTAGAAGTCTGGCTCCAGATCGTTGGAACCTTCTTTCTGTCTTCCTCCGAGAGCCGGCACCAATACATTCCTAGGTACCTAGTATACCTAAGGTGCTGTCTAGAAATCCTCTAGTTTACTCGCTTGTATCATCGTGTTACTCTATGAGTCGTGATTGGCCTTAACAAATTAGCTTATTTGGCACCTCACATCACTACCCGCTCTGTGCAATCCCTTGTCCTCTTGGGGTAATCCCGCTTTCACGTGAAAGCTGAGCGAGGAGCTTCTCCGCTATTTTGTAAAAGTTGAGGTCGAATCTCTACTTTTCATCTTTTGGCTTTGTATGTGGGATGCTGTCGGGCCGTCTCTGTCTGTTTGTCTGTCTGTCTGTTCGATACTTATTGCTTTGCAGCCATGACGATTGTAGAAACGAGACCCAAGTTTACATCGATACTGCCTTATGATGCTGAACGTATCCTGAGCATCAGGGAGTTATTTACCTGCCTTTCAAACTTCATCTTCAAAATACTGCAAGGCATGGAAATTCGCAGAATTATCTGTGTGCTGTGCTTTACTGTCCCGCTCCCCTCCAAGCAGATAAGATAACTGCTCTCAGCCAATGGAAGCCCTTCAATATCTACGAGCAGGGGCCAATTCCCTGTAAGCCTCTGTATTGGAATTTTATGTTCTACTGCAGAAACTGCATCCCATTAAAGGTCCGAGATCACCATGCTCCAGGGTAGACTGACTTGCGTCTCTTCACCTAGTCACAACACTGCAACCCAATACATTGTTTTTTCGATATATGATCTCGCATCTCATATATCACTAGACAGACACGAGTGAGATCAGTAGTGTGTACTTCGCATATTGCCGAAGCATGAACGAGCCGTGCCTTTCTCAACCCCTAAACTAACATCACTTCGAAGAACCTATGAGTGTCTTGACTCATTTATTTTAATTCTCTAAACAAACTTTTTGCCCCTCGTCACGTCTTTTACCCAGTCCCAGCTTCTGATCCAACATTTACATCAAACAAGCGACCTGGCGGCTGCTGCACAGGTCTGATGAGGCGACCTTAACGCGCGTAGACGGCCCAACCCATGTATAAGCCTCGACCAGCCACTCATACCACACCTTCGAATCGTCGGTCTGGCGCCACATACTAACCTCGAGCTCAGTATCGGCTGGGAAATAGAGAGGTTTCTATGGATCCGTTAGTGCATGCTACATCTGTTAACACGAATAACTTACCTTGAGAGGAAAGAAGATCGGGAACCACGAGATCATGTCCTTGCTCTTGTCATCAATATGTTCGGGGTGTGTGCTAATCTCAATCTTCGCGCCCTTGTTCTCGGGAATTTGAGACTCATACAGTGTTGACTCAAAGTATCCGGCCAGACCGTGCGTAACGCCCCTAGTTCGGCAGACGAATGTGAGATGGCAGTACCGCGAGTTATGATCGTTGGCACCTGCAGCACCTGCCATGCTGCCACCGCCACCGCCAACAACACCGCCAGATCGCTTGGCCTCGAGAGCAGCAAGAGACGACTCAGGAATGGGGTGCGAGAACTCCCAAGCCTCTTGGAATCGTGGCTTGTTAGGCACTCGTTCAGCAACAAAATCAAGAGCGAAAAGACGGACGACCCAAGGGGTCTCAAAGGCATTAGGGTCCCCAGGTACCCGAGAGAGAATATCGGCGTGGATTTTCGGTGTAGAGATCGGGCTCATGTGAGCTGTGTAACTGCTTGGAATCGAGATGCCATGAGGGGTAGAAATGACATGCTGGATACCATCGAGGCACTCAGGCGACAGCTCATTATCACCAAAAGATCCAAGGAGTTCGGAGATGAGGATATCAACTTTGCCATAAACAGGTCCATTCTCATCCTCAGAAACCAGAGGACCCTTCCAAGCACGCATGTCAGTCTTGACAACCTTGACCTTGCCACCCCATACAAGCTCATTTTGGCGCAAAAGATAGACATAGGCATTGGGGTTCTTCTCAACAGCCCACATATCAATGGGCACTCCCGCATCTTCAGATGCCTTGAGCGCTCGAGTAACAAGGGGACCACGGCCAGAGCCTGCAACAGCAACAACAACCTTGCCCTCCTTAGAAAGAGGCTTCTTGAGTTCCTTCCACTCGGTGAGAGCTTCAAAAACCGCAATCTCGTACTGGCTATACTTGACCGGGTCTCCCTCGAAAACCTCGTACGTGGCTGACTCGAGGTTGTCCGACAGGGGCTGAAGAGGTGACTGGAGCCAATCCTGGAAACTGGTCAGGGTTGGGCTCTCGAGGTATGTGAATGGGGGCTGCTGGTCCTCGAGCCATCGAAGGTACGAGATGTAGTCGTTGGACTTGATTTGGGAAGCTTGACCCTTGGAGGACTGGCTCTGCGCCTCTGCTTCGGGGAGACTGGGAAACTCGTTCTGGGAACGAGGCGGAGGCTGGGGACTATCCTTGAGGTGAGAAACATCAGGCCCAGCATCGCAAAGAAGGATCCATGGAACGTTCTTCAATCTCATGTATGAGAAGATGAGGTTCTGGTGGTGTTTGGATAACGAAGGGAAACCGGCTTTGTTAGTCTGGAAGGTTGATGGGCTGAGTGTTAGGTAATGCAAAGGTTCAGCGAACCAACGATCTTGGAGATCCTTCTCGGGCATCACGCGAGGGATTTCCAAAGCTGTTGAGAAGGTCAGTACTCATCAATGAATCTTGATCAGATGGGATCCAACCTACAGACGAAAAGCCTCGTGTTGTAATTGCAAACACTACGGATATGATGCCATGAATCCCAGGAAGCCAGGAGGTCGATTTCCTTTCCTTCAGCCTTGTCAGGGGTCTTCGTATCAAGCGAAGAGATGCTGATTTCCTCTGACTCTTGAACAGGCTCACGGTACATAGGCATGTGAATTAAGAACGTGAGTCGGTTACCAATGGTAAGAGCCTCTTCGACGGCACGAGAGTATTGGGCAAGACTTTGATTTCCGCCGTCGCTGGAAGCATCCTGTCGAGGTCCAGGGATAACAATGCTGCGAACACCACAGAAGTTGGCATAGTTAATCTCTACGTTCAGCACCTGGCGAGAGATACTGGAGATGATGGGGTTTGAAGAACCGAGGTCGATCCAAGGGCTGATGACTGCCGTGTAAGTGTTGACAGCAGCGCAAGGAAACAGGCCTGTATCCTTGGGGGTCAAGGGAGGCAGAATAGGCTCTGCCCGTGAGCCAGTCATTGTAGTGCTAGGCTTCTCACCATTGTTGGAGAGGGTAGAGAGATGCTCAGACACCAGGGCAAAGACACGATCTCGAAAGTGAGTGTTGGTGATGGGAGTCGTCGCAAAGGCCAACTATCCATTGAGTCAATTGGGGGGCCCAGAAGGCCTCAGATCTCGAGAAACAGAGCGCTTCCATCGGGGATCAGAGGCCATTGACATGGCTAAAATGCGACTTACACCATGGTTGAGCAGATGCCCATACTGTAAATCGGTGAGGGGCTCATCACTGTTCGAGTTGTGGTATCCAATATGGAAGCTAGGGCGCTGAAGGCCGAAGCCATCGGATATATCGAAGCCTGTGTCTTCAGAAGCCATCATCTCATACGGAGTGTCCGAGAATGGTGGATGTAGTTTTTGCAGCTACCTTGGCTGAAGGTGAGTGAAAGTTGAGATTTCTGGTGGTGGAGTAAATTCACCCCGCCAAACTTGTGCGGAGTGGGATGGTCGAGTTTCGAAAGCTGCTAGGAAGAGAAAGTTGTATCCGGAGCCAATGAATGAGTAGATTATATAAAGGAGGAGATTTCCGGCAAAGATAAAAGCAGAATTGTTTATCTCGCTAGATTTAGATAGAATGTTGGTGAGAGGAAGAGTTGATGATTTTCGCGACCAAGGACCCTGAAAGTGGGCACAGTGCACGCTATAGTATTTGCTTCCATAAGGTAGGTACCTAGGTATCAAGATGCCGGGTAGTCTAGGTGTCAGAAGAATTGTCCTCTAAGGCTTAGGGTACAGAAATAAAGTAGACTAAACACTAGCCTAAAGCGGCATACGATGACCAAAACATTTCGTCTCTTATGCTCTCGGCGGCTTTTCTTTCTGACGGATGCCTACCTGTTAGTATCCATATACATCCTGATCCATGCTGTAGGATGGTCATTGACAAATCACTGGCATGAAGGAATCATACTATAAATTAGACTATGGACAATATCAAGAGACGAGGTTCCCATGGGAGGGAGTCGTTGTATTGTAAATACAGGCAGATTCGCATATAAAATGCAGCTTTAGGTAAGCTTCAACCAGTACAGCGTTCAAGTCCTGTACACTGTATGACAAGAGATCCTTATCGATAAGCATCAGCCTCCCAGTCCCGCCAAAATTTTCTAGCAGAAAACAAACCGACAAAAACACCACCGCCTAGTCTATCCTCTTCAGCCTCGCCACTGTTTTTCTCTCTTTTTCTTCTTTCTTTTCTCCTCTCTCTTCTCGCTTTGTCATCAGCGAAACAATGTCTGACGCTATGGGAGGAAAGCGATCAAGCGCCGACGCCGACGAGTCAATCCGAAAGAAGGCAAAGAAACAAGGCGGCGACGACGAAAAGTACAACCCTTACCTTGCTCACATGTATGACAACGGTGATAGCAATGGCCATGGAGAGGAGCCTTCTCCCGATTCGCCTCTGGCCGGTATGAAGCGACAGCAAACCACCGCTAAACAGGCCGCCAAGGCTGAGGATTCCGAGTCGAACCCTTTTACCGGCCGAACGCATTCGCAGAAGTACTTCCAGATTCTTCAGGGTCGTCGCGATCTGCCTGTGCACAAGCAACGGCAGGAGTTTCTCGACAAGTACCACTCGACACAGATCCTCGTCTTTGTCGGTGAGACAGGATCCGGAAAGACTACTCAGATCCCTCAATATGTCGTCTACGACGAGTTACCTCATCTCACCGGCAAGCTCATCGCCTGTACTCAGCCCCGTCGAGTCGCCGCTATGTCGGTTGCGCAGCGTGTCGCTGACGAGATGGATGTCACTCTGGGCGAGGAAGTTGGTTACAGCATTCGTTTCGAGGATATGACGGGCCCTAAGACCATGCTCAAGTACATGACCGATGGTATGCTTCTGCGCGAGGCTATGCACGACCACGAGATGTCTCGCTACAGCTGTATTATTCTTGACGAGGCTCACGAACGTACCCTCGCAACCGATATCCTCATGGCTCTTCTCAAGCAGATTTCCATGCGCCGACCCGATCTCAAGATCATCATCATGTCTGCTACGCTTGACGCCCAAAAGTTCCAAAAGTACTTTAACGATGCGCCTCTGCTTGCCGTTCCAGGGCGAACACACCCCGTTGAGATTTTCTACACCCCCGAACCTGAGCGCGATTACGTCGAGGCCGCCATAAGAACTGTCCTTCAGATCCACGCTTCAGAGCCTGAGGGTGATGTTCTGCTCTTCTTAACGGGTGAAGACGAGATTGAAGATGCTTGTCGCAAGATCAGCCTCGAGGCCGATGAGCTGATGCGAGAGGTTGATGCTGGCCCTCTGGCCGTTTACCCTCTTTATGGTACTCTACCTCCCCATCAACAGCAGCGGATTTTCGATAAGGCTCCTGCGCCCATTCGCAAAGGAGGTCGCCCTGGCCGCAAGGTCATCGTTTCCACCAACATCGCCGAGACCAGTTTGACCATTGACGGTATTGTGTACGTCGTGGATCCTGGTTTCAGTAAGCAGAAGATTTACAACCCTCGTATCCGTGTCGAGTCTCTTTTGGTTTCGCCCATCTCCAAGGCCTCTGCCCAGCAACGTGCTGGTCGTGCTGGTCGTACAAAGCCCGGAAAGTGTTTCCGCCTGTATACTGAGAAGGCCTTTAAAAAGGAGCTTATTGAGCAAACTTATCCTGAGATCTTGCGTTCCAACCTTGCCAACACTGTCCTGGAGCTCAAGAAGCTCGGTGTTGAGGATCTTGTCCATTTCGATCTTATGGACCCTCCTGCCCCTGAGACCATGATGAGAGCTCTTGAGGAGCTCAACTATCTCGCCTGTCTCGATGACGATGGTGAGCTGACTACTCTCGGCAGCATGGCATCAGCTTTCCCTCTGGATCCCGCTCTGGCTGTCATGCTTATATCCTCTCCTGAGTTTTATTGCTCCAACGAAATTCTATCCATCACTTCTCTGCTCTCAGTACCCCAGATCTTCACCCGACCTGCCAACAACCGCAAGCGTGCAGACGAGATGAAGGCGCAGTTCGCTCATCCTGACGGAGATCACCTTACCCTCCTCAACGCTTACCACGCCTTCAAGGGCCAGGCTACATCAGACCCTAATAGCGCCAAGCAGTGGTGTCACGAGCACTTCCTCTCATTCCGACATCTCTCTAGTGCTGACAACGTCCGGGCACAGCTCAAGCGCATCATGGAAACGCACGGTCTTGAGCTTGTTTCGACGCCTTTCGAGGACAAGAACTACTATACCAACATTCGACGCGCTTTGCTTGCCGGTTTCTTCATGCAGGTCGCCATGAAGGAGAGCTCAGGCAAACTCTATCGCACTGTTAAGGATGATCAGGCTGTTCTGATCCACCCTTCCACCGTTCTTCGTACCGAGTTTGACTGGGTTCTCTACAACGAGTTTGTTCTGACATCGAAGCAATACATCCGCACATGTACAGGTATCCGGCCTGAGTGGCTACTGGTAAGTCTTGTCCCCTGAAAGACGATTCTTCTCCGACAATGAGAATCGTGCATCTTTACCTTCATTCGGCCACTAACAGCTGTGTAGGAGATTGCACCCACATACTACGATATCGATAGTTTTGAGCAGGGCGATGTCAAGCGGTCTCTTGCACGCGCCGCAGAGAAGAAGCGCCGCAAGGAGGCCATGAAGTCTGGTAGATGAAGCATTCTCTGCAGGAACCCATGAGTAATCCAACCCCCGAGCGTCCCCCATAATCTACAATGGATGGGTACCAGCGAGGATTCGAAAGGCAAAGGATCTATCTTGATTGCTTATTCAATGGTTAACCCTCCCATATACGCGCGGGAGGCGACCGGCGACCCTCTGTTCCACCTGCTCGGTCTTGCATGGGAGGGAGGGATTCTTGGGTCAGACAAACATCATTTCTTAAGAGTGGAGGACGAGAGGGTTGTGGATCAACTCGACAAGTCTTCCCCTCCCTTGTTGATCCCAGTCCAGATCCCTACAATCTGGTACATTTACTGGTCGACCACGGCGTTTTTGTGCATCGGCCACTTGTTCAATAGTTGGCTGGGCGAATGGTTTGTTCTCTGCTTCAATTTCTCATTGTACCCCTCCTTGTCTGGTCTTATGTTTTCTCTACTTTGCCTATTCGGTATTAGAGTCCTGCAGCACCGTTAGATTGCCAAGAGAGGGTGTGAGCAATTGTGATGCAGAGTGTGGGCGTTTTGGAATGTTTTACTCGTGCGCATTTTGCTTGGTGGTACGTACTGTAGAGGGAGAAAAGAGACGACAGAGATAACCCTGGAGCATAGTTAAACTGGTGGTCGATAGAGATCTAATGTTAACACACTAGCTGGCACTATGTCAAAGAGAGTTGAATAATTGAGACATTGTCACTAAAGTTCAGGTACTGGCTCTTATGCTTATCTAGTACCATGCAAGATGCCGGTTATGGCTCGCTAAACTACTGGTTTTGTTGCCTCTTTTCCCAGGCTCAACATGGTTAGACAGTTGTCCAAGTTACTTGAGCTGTCAGCATAGCTTGGTCCACGATAATACGTACGTCAAGATGAATGAATGCTCAACGACGCCATGCGATGCAAACATAAACAGCCTGGCTGACGAGAATAGTCTAGTAAGCAAGGCATCCTAACTTCACTTTACTGTTAACTAGGGGAGTGCGGGCTGCAGATCCGTCTCGTCTCATCACAACCTTGATTCAAATGTTTAGGTCCATTTTTTTCTTTTCTTATCATCTTTCCTCTGTCTCTCTTTAGCTATCAGAGTTCTCTCACGTATTTTACTTCCCTCCTCTAGAACAAGAGTGGTGTACATGTGCGTGTGCGTGTGCGTGTGCGTGTGCGTGTGTGTTAGGTACTTGATCCTGGATCAGGGTGACCAGGGGTTATCAATGCAAGAGCGTTGCGTTAGCAGGCCCCCCTCGTGCCAATCGGTTTGTGTGGAGGCGGGAGATCGAAGAAAAAAGCAAAAAGAAGAGGAAAGAAAAGAAACGAATTGCACACATGGGAACACTCCCGGCAATCGGATACACACCTGGGTGAACTTAGTGGAAAACAGCAACACAAACAGTATCCTGAATTTTATGTCATAGAATTTCATCAACAGCAAGGCAAGCACAAGCACAAACAGTAGACAGCCAAGGGTCTGCGACGCCTGAAGCGTTTCCCCATTAAACCCATCTCGATCATTAACCAGCACGAGTCAGGGCGAAACAGGATGATGAAAAGAGAATGAATCAATAAATAAGGAGCCTGTTTCACATATCAACAACAAATACAGATACAAATACAAATAGCGTTCCTGTCTCTCAGTGAAAGCAATGTGATAGCAATTAGTTCAGAAAGAACTACTATCATATACCAACTTAGGTTATGCCCTCTCTGTCAAGACTCCGGCTTCTAACTGCCGACGAGACCCAGGCCTTCAGTGACTAAACATAAACCCCAAGTCAACGACAAACAGCAATGGAAGGCAAGATAGGCGCGGTCTTGTCCTGTAGAAATGATCGGGTCATTGTACGGGTGGATACTTTATTGGTATGAAACATAAAGGAAACCGGTCTAGAACACCAAGTAGGTACATCCATCAAGGTATACGGTGGTAGGCACCGCAAAGGTTCCGGATAACTTATTAGTGCCTACTTCTGTAACCAAACATCATCGTGATTCATATGGACGACCCTGTAAAGTTTCTGGGGGTGCGGGAAGAGGCAAGATCGCGCACGTATTATGTACTGTACTGTACTGTACGCTGACTGGGGGGTACATTCTCTGCTGCTCGAACAGTCAGACAGAAGCTGTGTTCAGGCCAAAAGTCTGCGAATAGAGGCGCTCGAGGACATTGGTGATGTTACACTGGAGAATACAAAAGCACGAGGCGATCCGAGACGTCCGACTAGGGTGGTAATTGGTAATCTGTTGAGAGTACGGATAGCCTGATATACAGTAGTTGCCTTTCTATTGTCTCTGTCTCATGATAGATGAACGAATAGCCAACCAAGTTCGGTCTAATAACCGTGGTCTTTTTACTAAAAAGTCTAGACGACCATAGATGAAAGAGTGAAAAGGGAATGAATTACCGTCGCAACATAAGTAGATACTGTAGACTATAGACTACTAACGTCAGGATCAATGATCCATATAAGCGAATGCGGCGCCACATGCTTGTGGATCCTTCCTGTCTCTTCAGCAGAATGATTTTCTCTCTTTCTTTTTTTGGTTTTGCTTTTTTCTTTGCTTTTTCCCGCCCTTCCATTTCCAAAACTAGATCCAGATCCAGATCAAGATACTACTATACTAGGCTGAGCCGCATTGGCATCGACCCCAAGATGTTCTAAGAAGGGTTCTTTTTTTTCAGCCTCAAACATCTCCTCCCCACAGAGTCTAACTTGGAGTCCCTCCCTGTTGAACTATACAACATTGGATGTGAATGTGAGGCCAATGCATTCTGCAATATGACTGACCTGACCTGCTTGTGAATCCACCATGCCATCCTGCGTCCGATGCTCGGCTCCTTGCCTGTGCTTTACCTACTACCTATGGCACGATACATGGTGACATCCAATGGAAAAGTAAAAATAACAGCAGACTGGGCCTCGCATCTAGGTGGCTTCGGGTCGTGGCGTCAACTGGCCCGAGAATATTGCTGTACAGTACCCGTACAGCACGCCCCTTCTCCAACTTGCAAAAGGCTTCTTGCCCTGCCTGCCTGGTAGTCTATGCAGTGTCAGAAGAGTTGTGATTGCCGTGGATCTAGGGGCTTTCTTGGACATGGACATGGACCATGAACGGGGCAATCATCGTGCATCGTCTCAGACAAGGTCAACTCCGAGAGGGATGGGCAAAGGCTCCGTGTCATTGGATATCGTCACAACAAGCGGTACGTCTTTTCCCCCAGACAAGACCAGACACGCCCTTGTCAAGTCTAAGCTCACGCCATATCCGCCGGGCGCTACTCCCATTAGAGCTCTAATCCCATGGCCCCACGTCTCGACGAACTTCGCGACGACCCATCCTATTGCTTCGCTTCTCAGGACGGGCGGATGCTTTGCTGGAGCAGCAGATCCAGACAGAACCACAGCATTTGGAATCCGCCCATGTTGAATGTAAGAAAACGTCGGTTTTTGGCAGTGCCTCTGTTCTCTTCAGTCTTATCAATCGCACTGTGACAGTTATGTCGACAGAATGCCACAGAGGTTGATATATCCCAGAGAAGTGTCAAGATCGTGACTCTGCCATGTTTTGCTGTTAGTTGATTGCTCGTAGTCGTTGGTTTCCAACAGCATGCACAACTTCTTGCCTACCTATGCAGAGTCCTACATAATAGTTAGTACAATACATGCATGTCTTCTCTAAAAGGTGTCTGCAGCCAGTCTCGTCTTGCGGAGTTCACAGGGGCCTCCCTGTCTGTCATCACTACTGGTGTGGTCCCCACTGCATCGCATCGCTATGGCTATGGCTATGGCTATGTACTGTATCCGTATGTCCAGCGGGGACCATCAGTCAATGCCATTTTGCATGGCATTGCGACGCCAGCGGCCATTCGCCATAGATCTGACTTGTCCCCAAAACGTCAGTGTCATCGAGCAGTACAGAGTACGAAGCTGATCATGCCAGTCCATTCCCACATGAAGCTCCGCTATGCCCTAGGGATAGGGACTCTTTGTTGGTCTTCCGCACTTCAGCGTAGTAGTACGGGCACATCGTTCGACCCTTTCCCCGGTCTAGTCCACTCCCCGTGCTAATAATCGCATTCACATCACTTCCTTTCAAGGCATGGCAAGGCAGCTCATATAAGAAGCTCTGCCTCTGCCTCTGTCTCGCATTCCTTATTCCCTCTGCTCTTTGATTCACATCCTGCCTTCCCGACTATCTCTGCGCCATCCAACTTCTCTCCTGTCTTCATTATCAAGTACACGATGAGTGGAGCCGGAGGTTTTTATAAGTACAGATGCAAGTACTTCTACACACATAACTGCCCCAACTGGGTTTGGGTGAATAATGCGCCTTGCGCATCGTGTCTTGTGAGTTGAGCTGTTGCGGTTAGGTATAGAAACGAGGTTTGCTAACATCCAGCGCAGGCTGATGGACGTGACAGCGAAGAACCTGCCCTACCAACACGAGGGCGGCCACGAGACATTGTTGTACCGCAAGTTCTTGATGGAATTCTCCAATATACTCTAATGGAGCTTGTAGCCCCTTCAGAACCTGGCGACGACTGGACACTGAGGGATAAGGCCAACCGACCTCCACCATCAATTCCGGTAACAAGCGCGATGACGGGCATAGCGGGGATTTTGTCACAACATCGATTTTGAGAGGCGGACCAAGACGATTCATCAGGTATACGTATGAGCGTTGGCCCTGGGGTTCTCCTCGATTACAATTGGGCGACAGCAGGCGGAAAATAATTATCGACGAAAAAATACTGGACTGAACTGGACATATGAGTGCGGCAACATGGAGACAGGTCGACATACCTCTCTTGACCGCCGACTATATTGCAACGAGCCATTGGGCGTATGCAGTGTACGATTTCTGATTTGACTGCGGCGCTCGGCATTGGATGGAGCGGGAGATTGGTGGCTGGAGCAAGACCGCGAGCAAACAAACCCCCGCGAGATACCCATGTGCTGCGTTGAATATTTCTGGAGACGGGGGACTCCATTCTCAACTTGTCACTTTTTTTTTTCTTTCTTTTCCTTCTTCTTTTTTTTTGGGCGGCTCCTTCTTTTGTGTTTCTTGTTTTTCTTTTTCTTTGCTGGGGTAGCATAAAGGCGTGAGATGGTCGAGGGTTTACCTGCTGGGTAAGGGAACAATTGTCATCTTTTTTGCTGTCTCGAAGCCGAGAAATTAAATTGCTGACCTCTTCTTACGTGAAGAAGAAGAGGTAGTACTTGGTTCAAATCCAATTGGACTGATCGTATCCGTCATATGATGCGAAGCTCAAACCTCGGGTCGAGGATGTGTTCTAGGTACATGAAATTCATGTAAAGACATCGATTCGAGAAGTTTTTGTGGCCAGGCAGGACATGAGATGTGACGTGCCGCGGAAGAGCTCGTCTGATGATCCTTGTCCATCTGCAGTACTTATCAACCGTTGTTTGTTTCTGGATGAAGTGCCCCACTGATAGGGATCTACCTACATACAGTCTGAGCTCTGAGTTCTGCCATGGCACACCAACATGAGAACGGGGGTACACGATACCTACCCAACATCAGCATCAGCATCAGCATATGTGCCGCTGTTACAATCAGCACGTCGAAAAGGGTCAATGAAAGCGTCGTGCGTCTGGGGGGAGGCCAGGCACCGCACCTAGCTGAACCAGTCTTTTTCTCTCAGCTGTTAGCTCTGTGATAAGTGATGTCGTAAAAAGCCATGATGCCTGCTGGTCAAACGGTAGACTTTGCTTAAAAAGGACTAAGCGTGACGGTTTCCACCATGCTCCACGTGCCTGCATCTCGTGAGGGTGGTGCCAATGAATTGTTGAGAATCCGGCAGTAGTTACTTACTACGGAAACGAGCCACTGCCGTTGGAAAGAGTTTGGGTCTGAAATTGGCCTTGCTGTAACCATCGCGTGGGTATCCGTATATTCCTGCGGACTAGACGGGCCGTCTTGACATGATGAAACGGATGAGGGTATTCCTATGGATGGATGACAATGACGAAGCCGCCTAGGTACAGACGAGGGAGGGGAAGAGGGAGAGAGCACGGACGGCAGACTATAGATCGGATATGCTGTGCAACCATGCGGCTTGTTTGGACATGACTGCGGACGAATGTAGAGTATGTGTACCTGCTTCAGTGGAGAAAGCTGAGTGAGATTGAAGAGATTTAAAGTATTGGATGTGGTGATATAAATGCACACTACCTAGGTAGGTAGGTAGTCATTAAGGCAATGCATTATGCTATGCTATGCTATGCTATGCAATGCAGTGAAAGTCCGGTGAAGAGTCGCTTCAAGGGCTCTCTTTCCTCTTCCAACCAATCCATTAATATTTACCTACATTACAAGCAAGGCAGGTAACCTTAGTTGTTTCAATCAAGAAAGCGCTTAGGGAGCTCGTGTGGGGTCTACATACAGTGCTCTTTGTCCCCGTTCTTGCCGGATAGGATGAGCTGTCTTAATCCAGGAACATCCATGATGATTAATTAGCAGGAGGCAAGTACCTACCTACCTCTTACCTACCTAGGTACCTACACACGTATAATACCTTCCCGGGGAGGTAGGATCACACGGCAGCTAGCTACGCTAGCTCTATCCTTTACTTAGTGCTTCCCTCACCACCCACAAGTTGTCAAATAGGATATCAACCGCTGTCAACTACAGTTTACATGTACCTGATCAGGGGTAGGGTGTCCACTAGCGCCCGTCAAAGTTCGCCAATTCCTAGGGCCTCGCTAGGTATCCATCCATGGAAGGCCGGTACCTTAGTAGGTACCTACGTCTAGACTGGTATCTACTTATCTCACTCAGTCTGACCTGACCTAACATTGAAGAATCCATGCTTCCTGTCCATGTGAGTCCAGCTTCCAGTATGTACATAGACCCGACTCCCGTCGCTTCTAGAAATAGCCCACTGTTTATCTCACGCCTCGCTAAGATTAACGATTAAGCAGCCTCAATGTCTCAGCTGTGCGTATAAGTTGACTTCTGACGATAGCTCCAGACGTCAAAGATCTGTTTTGTCTTGGATAGCTTACCCAGCTATATTTCAGTTCTTGAAGATCCGAGTTGTTCCGGTACTGATGGCATACTTAGAAAAGAGAGAAAGAAACCAAGCAACAAACCTTCTTGCCTGGGGCCCGTGTACTTTGCATAACTGAGAGCTGTCAGATCTTGCGAGAGTTGACTTTGCATCAGCCCATTTTCAATACCTAGCTTGGCTTGTGTACTAACACTGTACTTTGGCATGGAAGACCCTTTGGGCCAGTCGTGATCCATGATTGAGGGCTTGGAAAGCTCAGCTGCTCTGAAAGCGGACCAACAAACAAGCCACTTGATGGATTACTCCAGCGGCTAGTGGAATATCCTTTGTACGATAGCATACGCCATCTGGCCATAACGTCTTCTCGGTGTCGGAAATCGCCGCCCGGTATAGGAATTGATTATAAACTATCGCAGTCGTGATACCCTTCAAGTTGGAAGCCACGAGCTAAAATAATGAGGTTGTTTTTGCTGTATTATAAAATTTGAGGTGTTGACAAGATTGGCTCAATACTTTCTTGGCTCACACTGCCAGAAGCGAATCAGTTTAGTCCAGGGTTAGCTATCGAGACATGCGAGTATCATACGATGTCTTGATGTCCCGAGATGGACAATGATCTCATTACCGACTGACGTGCTTTATCATATGGGTCTCATACTATGTAAGACCACAGACAGTCGGAAATTGTTGCGATTAAATGAAACGCTCGTTTAAAAACCTTCTCAAAAACCCTTGAGACATGTTCGCGTGGTTGTCAAGTCGTTTTGGTCTTTCTACCTTAGTACCTAGATAGTATAGGGTACATTGGATCGCGCAGCTTATGGAATAGATGGATGCAGACATGTAGGGAACCGTATTAAGGCATTTGTTGAAATAAACATTGTGATGAATTATCAGCCTTCGGCATCTCAAAAGTTCCTTTGGAAGATATGCCACAGCTTGTGCCACAGCATTATATACAAGAGACAGTCATTGTTATGCTTCGTCATTAATTAATTTGTCATCATTATTAGCTTCACTACAGGCTGAGAGCCCTACAGTCCAGAGGAGAGCCGTTCCATCCCAATCAGAGCATTATAGCCAAGCCAGCAGCCACCAGTCCCGCAACTACCATCCCCAACCGGGGATTGGTATTGGCAGAAGCAGCGTTATCATCATCACTCAAACCAAATGGCAGCCCTTGATAGTCAAAAGTAACATTCTGTTTGATTGAACTGTTGTAGCATCCTCCATTGGCAATGTCCAAGTTGGTAAGGTCATCGGGAACGTTGAAAAACATGTAGTTCTTCTGTGGAATGTCTTTGAACCCTTTGGTGTTGTAGGGGAACTTGTCTCCGCTGTCCGTGGAGCTTGTGTTGCGCAGGAGAATGCATTGTACTCGACCCGGGTAGTCTTTATATAACGCTGGGTATGCCTTCATAACATCAGAATTGGTTGTGTCGGCAACAAGTATAAACTTCCGATCTGGGAATGTCTGGAAGATCTTGTCAAGCAGAAAGCGACGGATGGATAGTGTCGCCGATACGTCTGAGAAGTTGAGAGGACGGGTATCGAACGAGCCAAGAGGGTATGTTTTGTAAATGAAGCTCATATAGTTTCGTGTGACCTGCTCAGGCGTAGTGGTGAGATAATGGAAGTGTAAGTCATCCACAGATGACGACCAGTTGGCATAGATCTTGGGCATGTTCATCCACGGCGTGAAGGGTCGAGCAAAGGTGTTGAGAAGACCCTCCTTCGGTTCATAGATCTTTGTTACTCGCAAGATATCGTCGACATCCGACACAATGGTGATACCTTTGGGAGGGACAAGATAAGCGGTTGCGTTTCCGCTGTTGTTCTTGCCCTCAGCATAGAGGTTGAGAGTTTGAATCTTTGAAGTTTCGTTACCAGGGATCAAGTAGCCATTGTCTGGACCGGAAGTGTTCTTGAGTGTGACGAAGGCGTCAAAATCACCTTCCAGTGTAGTGTTGTACGGCATGGTAATGTTTTGTGTGCCTCCTTTCTGTACATACTGTCAGTAACTCGGTACTAATATTACGTACGGAATCCTTGTACTGGAGCACTCACTGCATCAATAGCGCCGCCACTCTCGTCCGGAGATACATCGACGTTGTTCACAAAGTTCATTTTAACCTGCACGTCGTTCTGCTGCACGACAAAGATAGACTTTGTAACATTTCGAGCCTGAGCTTGCTGTGACTTGGAAAGGTCCTCAACATCCGTGTCGACGAGGAAAACATTGGCAAGGTCGTCCACTTTGTCTTGGTCCAGATCCGGGATCTTGTAGACATTGCCGTGCACTCGAACGTTCCATCCCTTGTCGGTCCAATTGCCATAAGGACTATCGTGTGATTAGCCACTACGCCTGGATTGGCTAGGTATTCTTTCAGGTACTCACGGGATGTTCAGCACCTGGGTTGGCTGCGCTTCCAAATCATCGTCGTCGATGCCCGCCGACTTCTTAACCTCGTTGCCGGTAGGGAAACCAGTTGGAAAGTCGAGGATGCCAGAATTTACCCACCCTTTGATCTTGGTCTCGACACCGCTGACAAGACCCCCGACATAAGTCTCTACGTCGTCAATAATGTCGCGCCTTTGGATATCCGCAATTTCGGTAGGTTGAGCAACTGGAGCGGCAACTCTACGGTAGACCGTGGGCGCAGCACCAGGAGCGGCGGCAGGGATGGCCATAACGGCGGGCACCAAGGCCAAGAGTGCTGCTTTGCGCATGGTGATCTTGGCTTTGATCGACTAGGGCAGCGTAAAGTTGAAGAGGACCCAGGCAAGAGAGCGCGACCAAGAGCAATAATGTATGAAGGATAACCAAGCTGAACAATCTTGTTTTGTTTAGAATTCACCTAGTAGTAGGTACTAAGGTAGGTAGGTAACTTAAGAAATCCGAGAATGAAGGAAGGTTCCTGCATTATGTGACATCACCAGCAACCGAGAGCTACAGCCAAAGTAGGTCCCATTGGCCCAAGCAACACAGCCGGGATGGAAGCAAGCTTTAGTGACAACACATACATTCAGCCTCAATCGCAGATCGTTCGTTAAGTTACAGTACAGTACAGTATGTTGAGTTTAGACGGTGAAACGCAGACGTTGGAAATCTTGGCAGTCATGACATCACTACAATCAATTCTCCGATCTGTCGGATCCGACCACCCAATCTAGACGCCGCCATCATTTACAGTAGGTACAGTACAATACCTACAGTACATCACTTCCTGGCCCCACAGGGGCCGTTATCCTTTTGGGGCATGGTTGAATCGTGGATCTTCACATTAGATCTGGCTTTACTGTACCTTGGCGATTCTTGTATCGGTTGGCTCAACAGCAGTCTGGATTCTCTTTGCCTGTTTGATTGTTAGCACACGTTCCACAAGACGAAGGAATTGGGTAGACTTATCCCCTCACTGCGGGGGGCTGACCTCCACACCATTTTCAGGAGAGAGGACAGCCAGGACTACCTCGCCAACTAAGCCTGTCCTAGATCCAATCCTACAACCCAGCCTCACCAGTGCGACCTAGAAGCACGATCCTCAACTCGATGGAAGGGCCGTCCACAGTATCAGACAAGCACAAAGCTTTGACTCCAACTCGAGATGGGTCCCAATACTGCTTCCAACGTCGACCAGAAGCATCGGTGCGCCACGGTGGCCATTTGCAAAGGCGAAGACTGTCTCGTGAGCTAGCAATCCCATACTGATCTGATACCTTCGCCAACACGATTTCTCCGGAAGGCCGTCATGACAGAACGCAGTCTAAAACACACCGACACTGCCAAGAGAACTCCTTCTTTGTGAGTCACGCTGCCAACTTGGACAAGTTTTTGATTCCTCTCCAAAATTCTCGCCAGCAAGAGGCATGGAGGGCATTAACGGGTGGACAAAATACATCCATAAAAACCACCCTTTCGTCTCAAGCTCAACCTTGCGGCTGATATGAGGGACCTGTTGGGACCAATCGATCCTCGCAGGCGTGCTGGCGCCCATCATGACCAAGAGATTGCGACCCTTGGCTAGAGGTTAATGCGCTTGGTCAGACCAGACGCGAGGCGTCACACACCGGGAGCAAATGCTGTGGTGTGGTCCAGTGAGCGAGGAGGACCAAGGGACTGGGTGGATGAGAAGTGGTGCGGCAATGCACGATGGTATTAACAGCTTCGGAGGGCCGGGGACTACCAGACTGCCGAGGTGTATCGGTCAAAGAATTTCTGTATGTTTCCACGGATTGTCCGCTGCACCAGTTGGAATTACCCTAGCTGAAGGTTCCGACAGACGCGAACTCGGGACTCGTATGAAATTCTGAGACTGATTGTTTGTGGCCCATCTGAAGCTCCACTCCTCAGCTGCGCGCACCGAGTGAGCCAGCAATGTGACCAAGCGATCAGGCCAATCTCATCTCCAAGAACCCGAGGCTGGCCGCATTGTCTGGACGGTCTACTATTGACCGATGTGCTGGTTCCAGTGGAAAGGGCTGACGAGCGTCCTCGGACCAGAGGCTCTTACCAAACGACTCATGGCACCAGTCCTCTCGCGCACCAGTAGGTGACTGGACTGTCCTCATCGCCTGTCCGTCGACACCAGCACCTTCAGTTGATCGTCCAACTTTTCAGCGGGCATGTCACAACTGTCAGCGCTTAGCCGGCATAAAAGACGACTTGGACGACAAGAGCGCAAGACTTGATGACCAGATATCTTCTTAGGGTTAAGTTCCGAGCCTCGTTTACCTGTCCGCCTGGTACGTCCTATACAGAACGCGTTACCCACCATGATCCAGCTGCGGCAATCACGAGGTCCTGTTGCAGGCTCGAGAGCGACATATGGGAGGGTAACCAAAAAAGACAAGCAGCCTGCAATAGACATCTCTTGCGAGAAACGAGGGCCGGAGAACTGTGGGGAAGGCGTCGCGTGTGTTGGTGTATTTGCTAAACGCAGTGAAGGAGTTCGTCTTGACCGCGGCCAGGGTTTGCAACAAGCTGATCCATCTAACATTAACACCTTCTGACGTAGTCGCATCTCCAGTATTGATCCTAGAAACTGATCAGTAACACGAAATGGTTGTTGACTGAAGAAAGCTCCAGGGCAGAAGAGGGACGCGATGAGATACCATCAAGTGGAGCCTCGACGCGCGTGCACGTGATTCGCCCAACCACCTACCTACCTACTGTACCTGTGCCGTGCGTGCCCGCCTGTACCTAGCACTAGGTACCCAATATCTAGTGCTGGGATAGTGGGGACAGTGAGCACCAGTGGTCAACACCCACCCATAGGTATGATGACAAACACCCATCCGACCCTATACCGAGTTTGATCCTCTCAAGAAACCATGCATTATGGCGAGCTCATCGTCGTCAACTCCTCCGTCGGGCGCACAACCCAAAATCATAGAAGAAATAGTCGAGGCTGGTAAAAAAGCCTTTGATCCAGCTCTTAATGAACAAGAACGCGACATCGAAAAATATGAGAAACTCATTCAAAGGTACACAGTCAAATCTCTAGGTTTTGCAACAACACTGACAACATGAAGTACACCGGTTTGGAAGCTTTTACCTGCTCTCAATGCACTCATAAAACCGTCTATTCTTCCACCATGGCTGCGAGACCCAGTGCTTCAAACACTTACCCTACTTCCCTTGCGTCCAACTGGGGTACGAGGAACCATGGAGTTCGTCTTCTCAGTCCATCCTAGCAATATAGGTAGGACTCCAGATGCCGGCTCTGGTCCTCAGAAGCAAGGAGCCAGTATCACTCATGAGGGCATTGCCGTTGCAACAAAACTCCTCTCTTCGGTCCCTGCTAGCATGACACCACAGGCGTGGTTCGACGGCATCTCGGAACAACTGTTCGAGCTAATTGATGGGACTGCTGGTCCCGAACTGGCCAAAACTGCATCGCAGGTTGTTGGCTTCGGCGTCCTTGGGAGCAAGCAGTACGGCGCTCCTGGATCACCCGGTTGGAATGCCTTTGTTCAACCGCTAGTGCAAGACTTGAACCCATCTTTGCGGCACATGTCAAACTCCAAGCCTGCAGCCACAAAGCAAGAGGACGAAGAAATCGTTGATCTCAGCCGAGATCGCGTTATAGTCGTCCCATACTCACTCAAAACCTCGTTACAGCGCCTCAAAACTCTGGTGATATCGAACTCTTCACCTGGCTTGTGCAGACGCCTCCTTAGACTTGTGTTGGTTCAAGTCTGGGTACTTGCCTCATGGTCGAACCCACTGCCAAATACCGAAGAGGAATTTGTACAACCTGCCCGTACTCTACTGCAAGCCTACCTAAGACTTTTTGGAAACGCTGAAAGCGTTCGGCCTTTTGTACGGAACCTTCTTTGCAAGGGTGCCGTAGACGGGACAGAAAAGCCTTGGGAGTATCGACTTAAGGGTAAAGGAGAAATCGAAATAATAGAACCTCGTGGATTTGGGCCCAAAATAGGCATTGAGCTAAATTGGAACGAACTTGAGGATAAGGCAGCCAAGCTGGTTGAATGCATGACGACAGCTTGTTCTGTCACCGAAGTGTCTTCCATCTTCCTGGACTTACTCAAGCGTTGGATTGAATCATCAGACAAAGAGACTGAAGATGTGAAGATCGATGTCCGCCCTAATACGGGGAAATCGGACTCACCTCTTCAAAGCCTCTTGGAAGTTACTGTACTGCAAAAACTTATGGACAAGGCACCCGAGAAGCTCGTGAACCAGTTCGACCAGTTACTGGAACTCGTCTGTCAGGTTCTCACAGCAGATACCCAGTCAAGATTGGCAGATGATCTGCTTGCAGTGGTGCTGAGTTTGCTCAATCTCGTCATTACAGCACCTACATTCCAGAAGTCACACATCAAACCAGAGGAGCTCAAGGTTGTTGAATGTGCCCTGGAAAGACTGAGTAACGAAGACAGACCCCAAGTAACACCCACAGCAAGAAATTTAGCTCTACTTCTAAAATATCGGGACGAAATGGAACAAGACGACGAACCGGCTTCGGCTCCCAGTGCTAGACAGATTGAGGATCAAAGAACATACAAACTGGCGATGGAGTATGTTACCGGTGGCGATGACAACCCAGCCCCTATCGTGACGGAAGGTCTGAATCTACTCTCTGGCCTCATACTGAGAGACAGTCCAATATTGGACATCCCCGCTGTTGCTGTTCTACTGTCCACTCTCCTTGAAAATAACGACGATTACATTAATCTACGAGTCGTCAAAGTGTACACACAGCTGGCAAACAAACACCCTAAGTCGGCCGTGCAGGAGCTTCTGGATCACTACCTGGATGCACAAGAAAAATCTACGACGGATGTGCGACTGCGCTTTGGAGAGGCCTTGTTGCAAGTGATCCAAAGACTAGGGGAGACTTTTGCTGGTGACGTTGCGCAGCAGGTCAGTGAGACCTTGCTATCAATTGCTGGACGGCGTGGATACCGACCCAAGACTATGGCGAAACAGGCTCGTGATGAAAAACGGCAGAAGATGAAAAAGAAAAAGGAGGAGGAGGAAGAAGTCGATGGTATGAGCATGGACGACGAGGAGGTAACAGAAGAAGAAAAGGCTAGGAATGACATCTTGGCCCAAATCCTTCAGGGATGGGAGAGTAAGCGCGGTGCAGAAGATGTCCGAGTTCGTACTTCTGCGCTATCAATCTTCGGCGCCGCGCTCGAAACCAATATTGGTGGTATTGGTCCAACACTTGTGTCCGGAAGTGTTGATCTTTGTATCAACATCCTAGCCATGGAACGAGAGATGGAGACGGCGATTCTACGAAGAGCTGCTATCTTAAACGTGCTGAGTTTTGTAAGGGCACTTGACGCAGCCAAGGAGTCTGGTCGCAAACTCGGCTTTGGTCTTACCGACGATAGTCGAGAGGATATCGTCAGGACACTGCGGTATGTGGCTCAGGCGGATAACGATGGATTAGTGCAACAACACGCGAATGATGTGATTGAGAGCCTTGAGAACTGGCAGATGGCAAGCATGTTGCCTGCGCAAGACCAGACGAACCCACCAGGTCTCACAAAGCTTGCGGGCCTCCACGTAAATCCAAGCGGAACTCTGGTCGATGAGTCTGGCAGGTCTCGGCCAAGGATCGAAGAAGTGGAATAAGAGAGGGGATGCGGATGCCCACGCTACCCGAGTACGGCAAATGATTGGCAATCTCGGTGCCTGCCTGATGAGAAGTCACTACAAGGCGCAGCATCTGCATATGGGATTTTGAGCCTTCCAGGATGTATGCCATGGGTATGATGAGAAACTACCTATAGCTGTTGAACGAATGATGAGTGCTCAGGTACTGAGGTTGGATTTTGAATAACTCGAGAGCCTCCAAGCATTAATGTAACAGTGTTAACGAGATGAGGTGAGATTTGCAGAACAAACCTGACCATGCATGCATGATTGATACATAATTATCGGGAACTCTCAGCCTCTGGTTGGCAGCGCATCCGCCAAGGTCAAATCTACCTAGAGCGATTGATTACCGAGATGAGATAATTAATTACAACAATCGATTAAGCAAAGCCATCAAAGGATTTCGTAGAGACAGAAGCAAGCATGTCATCTCATATAAAAGAACTTTAAACCCTTGTTTGGTGCGTTTTTGATAGACTATTTTAGAATGAGAGAACAATACGGATACCAATCATAATTAAAAGCTCGGGGAAGAATTAATAACCTTGATGTGCCGTAGATTGGGGTTGTTGAGTGGTGGAGTCGAGAAGTAACAGAAATTTACTGTACCTCCGTACGAGGGGGGGAATATTAAGAGTTGGAACTTGTTATTCTGCGACATGGAAGACGGGACAGCACAGGACAGGATAAGACTAAGACAAGGGAGCATGGTGTTTTGCTGAAACGGCACGACAGGGTGACTGACATGGATGTACGAACTTTGTATTGCTCGGTAATGTATCCGTACAACACGGATAACTTGGTATTGTAGTCTAGGTCCGTAGTCTAACGGACTGACCGCGAGCGGCTGAGAGATGAAACACGAGGTAGTATTGTCAGAGAACTGACCACGGCTCGTAGAATATTCCATATTCTATATGTACATTACCGTCAACAGAAGTGATTGAATGCTTGATATTGTTGATAAGAGGGACACATACTTACTGTACAATGGGATGAATGTCAGTTATGGATCTAACAAGGCAATGGGAATGAAATTGTGTACTGTACGGATGTGTATTGTATCAACTGTCAGAGTTTGTTTACTGTACATAATCATCCCGGTTTCTTCTATCCAGTTACCTAGTTGGGAATGGGAAACCAACGGTTTTCGGTGATTAATCTGGGTGGTCCATTCTCGACCTTGTTCCTGACGATCAACTATGATCCACCATGCATCATATCCCGTCTTTTACGACTTGACCAATACTGTACTGTATGTACCTACCTACCTATGTACTGCCTCTGGTGGATGCTCTAGCGTACCTATGTATCTAGTCTACTGTACTCACTTCTGCCAAGGAGGCTGAGCAAAAAGTCTCAGATGACATCCATCCATCTTGGCTCATGTACTGTATCCGTATGTACACAGCGAGCAATGACTGGATCAGTGGAGAGGGGGATGATCTGAGTCATTCTAGATCCGAGAAACGACTTGGCAGGGAAGAAAAGATGGCACGATGCATAAGTGGATGGCTCTCATGGTCTGTCAAATCGCGGTCAAGCATGCAAGGGAATGGATTTTGTTTTTTCTTTCTTGTTTCTTTCCTGTAGGGCAATGGATGTTTTTATGGAACCTAAGGTCACCGCAGGGAGCCTGTCATTGGCACTTAATTATTGTTTGATGTAAGAGAATGTCTGACTTGAGCGATTTCCAAGTTCTTCTCAATCTCTGCAGAGTCTGGCCTGGGTAGAGACAGATAGGTAGCCTAGGTATGTTTAGACGCCGCCTTGATTAGCACACTGTATTACAAAGTGATGAATGATAACACAAGATTCGGGAATCTCTACTATCTTGTTATAGGCCGAGTCTGAGTTGCACTAACATGCTGTACGAAGTTATGAACCACAAAGCCTGTCGATCCCATCGGAGATTTCGAGTTTAGAGTGACGGACTTGGAATCAACACAGTATGTACAGTGCAGTAGTATCAAGTACCCTAGGTGCACGACATACAAGGCTGAAATTACCTCGTTGACCTGACTAGCCTAGCACGACAGGAGCTGGAGGATGCTCACCGCATACGATAGGGGTAAATGTGCACTGCACCTCAAGATGAGTGCAGAATAGGAGCAGTAAGTAAGCAGCCTCACCGGACCCAAGCGCTAGGACTGTCTCTATGAGTGGTAGAGTGATACAAGCAGCGAAGCATTGCGACAGAACAAATGAACAAACAAACACGGCAGGCGCTCATTAAAACATTTCATCACACAGACTTGAGGTTGTAGTCATTTTATTCGCAGCAGTAAGTTCAGGTGGCGGGCGCCAGAAACCAAAAGTCTCGGGAGAGTTGAGGGCTGAGTGCCACATTTTGATTGGCCCGTGTGGCGTCTCAGGTTCGGCACGGTACCTGCATAGAAAAGTGACGTGGTGGGCGCTACGTACCTACAGTACCAAGGTGCTAATTGAGACTAAAGTACTAGGCACCTACCTACTTAGGTATTAAGGTAGATGGCACCTCGGCTTTTTGATTGAAACATAACTTTTATGTTTACGTATCATGTAGGTAGTGATTACTTAGTAGGTACTACGATGTATCAATTTATCTTTTCTTGGTGGAACTTCTCAATACCAGAGAAAATCCATGTTGCTTTTCCGATAGCATGAACAATCATCAAAAGGCAATCATTGCCCTGCCCTGCCTCGGCCTGAGTTGCAATGGTATCGCTAAATTGCAGGGTGCTCGCTCACCAAAAATGAGCTTGTCTAGCCCGGAACCCCTGGTGAAGAAGCCTACCGCGCCCCTGAACCATGCCATTTGAGGTAAGCGCCACGACGCCCCACCGACTTCTGAACCTCGTTCTTCTCCAACGGTTGGTCTTTCGCATCTCCAATCAAATTACATCCATGTTCATCTCGACAACATCAACGCCGCAGCAACCGACGAGGCCGCCCAAGCAAGATTGAGGGATGAGATCGTCTTCTCGCTAACATGTCTAGGCTCACACTCTAGTCTACAGTACCTTGCTGCTTCAGTTGCATCGCATCGTCTTTGCACAGACACTGGCCCATCGTTCTACCTACCTAGTCAGTTGTCGTGCAAAACGGTGCTTCAGCTAATACATGTAGCACACGCGCTCAGTGGCCGCTCAAGCCGCTTCTCATACCACATCTCCTCCATCTGCGGATATGGATGTCCCGAGCATGGTTCACGAGCGTGCTCAGCGGATACCGCCCTCTTTCAACTGAGCAAGGACCAAGCTCTAGATGCCAGATCCTGGCCAGTCCCCAATATCCAAGGGGCTCCCCAGTGGACCACAACATCACCCATGCTCGACGCATCTTGGCAGTCCGTCGTTTTGTGGTTGCATTCGCTTCCCCTGCAAAGAGGCAAAGAGCTAAAAAGAGGCGCCGCCAGCCCAATTCGTGGCACCCCCGACTCCAGATTTTCTTAATATCTACCGCATCCTTCCTCGACTTTGGATTTGCCTCTCAGTCTTGTCTGTATCAACTACACACTCGTTCAGTCTCTATTGTGACTATTACATTCATTTTCGGCTCTGCCATTACGATCATTCCAGCTCTACAGCAACTTGCGTTTTCTCACGTTCCAACTTTTATACTTTCTTTTAGTGATGCAAAACTGTGTCTTGCTCGCTGCCTGACTGTGGAATCGATTTCTGCAGCCATTACATCGTATTTACGTTGTCATAGACAAAACTGAAGCTACCACAAAACCCTACATAACCAAACCTTCAAAATGAAGTCCGTCGTCGCCAGCATCGGCATGCTCGCCGCCGTGGCCAACGCCTACCAGTTCCCCCAGCACGCCCACTACCGCCGAGACTACAACGGAACCGACTCTCAGACCACTCTGACCGTCAAGACCACCGTCGTCGAGACTATCACTAGCTGTGCTCCCACCGTCACCAACTGCCCTGCTCGTGACCAGACTGCTATTGCTCAGCTCCCCGAGTCCGACAAGACCACCCTCACTGCCACTCACACCGTCATCCTCACTGAGGTTGTCTGCCCTGTTGCCGAGGCCAGCTCCATCTACACCTCAGTTCTCCACGATGCGGAGACTGGTGGCGTTACTGGCAAGACCATCACTGCTGATGTCCCCATGAACACCGGCGGTGCCTACCCTCCCCCCACCGAGGGTGAGAAGACCGTTGTCTCTGACTACACCACCGATCAGGTTGTTACCCTTACCCAGGGCGAAGAGACCATCACCACCACTATTCACAAGACCATCCAGAAGACCCTGACTGTCCCTGCTGGTCCCGAGGTCACCAACGATGGTTCTAAGGGCAATGGCACCCCTGAGGAGGACACCACCACCACCACCACTAAGACCACCACTGGCACTATCACCAAGACCATCCAGCGTGTTGGTGAGACCGGCCCCGCCACCGGCGGCGACAACGGCTACAGCACTGGCAAGGGTGAGGGCGAGGACGATGGCTCCAAGGGTACCGGCAACGGCCCCAACAAGGGCGGCAACGGCGACAACGGCGAGTGTGTCCCCGAGACCGTCACCGTCACCGCTCCCGCCTCCACCGTCTACGTTACTGTTGTCCCCGAGGCTGCCAAGACCAACGGTGCTGATGATGCCACTGTCACTGGCAAGACCGTCAAGGGCGACGACTCTGAGGAGGATGATGAGGAGGATGACGACTCCGAGGAGGAGATCTGCGACACCACCACCACCATGGAGGCTACCGTCACTGTTGTCCCTTACCCCGTCAACAACACTGCTACCGGTGGCTACGCTAAGCCCACTGGCTTCTCCCGCCGTCTCCGATAAATGTCCAGAGACAACTCCCATGTATATGAAGTCTAGTCTGTACATTAATCACCACTTGGTTACTTCTTGGTTAGGCATCTAGTGGAGGAAGAACGCCTTGGATAGGCTTACACTACTCTGGATGTATGACAATTTATTTTTTGGCTTGCTTTCCGTTTTCAAAACCACTCAATGAGAATCATGATCTTTGTCTTATCTTGCACTTTAATTCAGCAGTCTCTTGCGCGGCATAGTCTTTCTTGGCTCATGACCTGAATAGAGCCGCGCGTTACTTTGCACGAAGCCTTTTTTGTAGATAGATAGACTTCGCTTGTGTTATGTGCAGTCATGTTTCTGTAGATCGCACTGTCTCTTTGAGTTGATCGTTGACATAAATCTTTCTTTCACTGTAGATATTTTGAAATAGGAGATGTGTTTGATGTACACAGTGAGGGCTTACATATCATCGTGACACTGACAAATGAATATGTTTTGTCTGAGGAGAATTGAAATGGGGCCCTGTTGAAATCCTCTCCTAATGTTTCCAATATTCGCATCTATAATATTCGGCGAAACCATGCTCTCCATAATGGAGAGCTATCTAAGCCAGTGTCCCTCAACGCCTTGCTAGTCATTGCAATGCTGATATCCTATTTCATTATATCATATCATACACAGGCCGCTTATTCATCCAAGCAGGACGTGCTCATAAGCATCGGCATCCAGATACCGCTGCAGCACGTCTTGTAACGCTGCCTTTGTACGGTCAAGTTGTGGCGTCACACCCTCGGCCTGCTGAAGGTTTCCACGGATGCTGTCAACGTGGCCAGCAAGTTGGAGGGCTACAGATTCGAGAGGCGTATCCACGAGGTCCTATTGAGTGTTAGTCCTCGGTTCCAGGCCCAAGATATATAGGTAATAGACGTTATTACCTTGAGGCTTCCCTCGTCTTTGTCTGTCACAAACTCTGTATCCTGGTGTTTGATCGTAGCCCATGATGTCCGCGCCAGGATATGTGCTTTTCGAAATAGGTCCTTGCGCTCTCTTGTCTGCGCCCTTGCATTCGCCTCCAACCGCCTCAGTTCCTCGTAGTCTTTCTCAAGCTCTTTCTCAATCCTATCCTTTTCAGCCTTTAATAGTCCCACAGCATGCTTCGCTGGTTGCAACTGTCTGTCCAATGTCTGTTTCCCATCTAGCACGGCTTCAAAATCGAGTTCCATCGCGCGACCTCCGTCTGCGTCTGCGCGGCGCCTCGTACTTGTTGTAGAGGATGCAGGGGGAAAGGGTAGGCCACGGGCAAGCTTGCGCTCTATACGTCGCGAGACGAGGTTCAATGCTGCGGTTGCGTGGGTGCGTCGGTTACGGGTCGTGGCTGTCCGTTGAAGAATGGGTCTTTGGGCGAGTGTAAGGATCGATGTTGCAGTGGGGAGGGACAAACCGGATAGGGGAGACCATTTTGCAGCAATATGAGAGGAGCGGATGGTGCGTTTGAAAGGGGCAATATGAAGATATGGCTTCTGAGGAGAGGGAAGGGATTCATCTGAATCGGTTTGTGCGTTGTCTTTGCTGCCGCGCCTTTTCTTGTTGGTACCTTGCTGCTGTTGTTGTCCAAGATCATTCGTACTCTCAGCGGATGACTTGCCGCCCTTTCGTCGCCCAACCTTCTTGGTATCTTTGCCAGGTTGTTGTTGCTCTGCATCTTCCTGCGATGCGCCAACGTTGGGATTTTGCACCCGGCGAGTGTTTCCATGGGCATTCCTCTCTACATTCCCATAAGAGTTTCGCGGGCTTCGTCTGTTCTCGTGTTCCTCCCCAGTCTCTTGTTCCTCCGGTTCGGGTTCCAGCACTTTACGTTGACGTTTCTTTCGAGGGGGTGGTTCTGCGTCTTCTGGCTCTACATAAGGTCTTTCGGGATGCTGAGTCGCTTTGCGACCCCTTTTGCGTGGTTGAGACTCCTCGTCTTGTTCATCTGGCTGCTCTGCTTGCTTTTCATTCGTCTTTCTCTTCCGTTGTGGTTTCGCGGGATCATCTACTGCTTCATTCTGGTCTTTTTCGAGAGGACGACCTCGTCTCTTCCTTGCTTGCGCTGCCGATTTGGCCATTTCTTCTTCGGTTTGCCTCTCGTTCTCATCATTTCCAAGAGAAGGGCGACCCCGTTTTCTCCTAGGCTGTACCTCGTTCTCTGCCACCTGGCGCTCAGGTTCTTGGCCGTCCGGGTAGTTTTTTGCATGGCCGCGCTTTCTCTTCGGTTGCGCCTCTTTATCTACAGCCTCCTGCTCAGGCTCATTGTCGTCTTTATTTTTCTCGAGCGATGGGCGGCCGCGCTTTCGCTTCCCTTGTACCGAATTCTCTGTTGCTTCCTGCTCTATTTCCTGCTCATCTTGATTTTTCTCAAGCGAGGGTCGACCGCGTCCTTTTTTGGGCTGTGCTGCATCTTGTGCTGTCTTTTCCGCATTCTTATCTTCAGTTGTTGGCCGACCGCGCTTCTTTCGAGGTTTGTCTTCGTGGGCTACTGTTTCTTCTGTCGCATCTTGTTGTATTTGTTTCTTGGGGCGCCCTCTCTGTTTCGAAGGTGCAGACTCTTCGTTATCGGCTTCGTGCTCATCTGGACGATCTTGCGACGCGCTGGCGTCAGCAGATTTGGACGCGTTTGCGGGACGACCACGCTTCCGTGTTTGCGGTTTTGGATCTGGAGACTAGACGGAGGATTATTGTTAATAATGGCGGCTATGGATTTAAGTATACAGGCAATGTTGTCGTTACTGACCATTGTGGACTGTAGATGAATAAGAAGATTGTTTGTTTTGTTGATTTAATCGCCCACCAATTGATTTGAGTTTCAGCGGCTCGGGGCGCTGGGATGGGGAAGCGGGGCAGTCGGGTCCCGTCCGTCTTTGGCTCCGCTCAAGCGCCGGGAAACGGTTTCTCATGGACTGGACTACCTAGGTAGGCTGAGATGTCATTCTACGCCTCATTCATCATACTCCAAATTTATCAGTCTAACATTTAGTTTAATTATAGCAGTTTACTCAATGTTTAAAATAACTACTCATATTGCGGATGACGTAGAAATGCCTTTGACTTGTTCTTCATTTGGGCCTGGAGAGCACATTAGTCTGGATAGCTGGAGATTAATCTATTCCAATACCTAGGTAGGTAGGTAGGTAGCAGGTGGGTCGAAGAAAAGCGAGACTTAGCTAAGGGTATCATAAAAGCTACCTAGAATAAGCAAGTCTAAGTTATTTTGTCAATAGACTTCTGTGTCCTGGTTATTTTTCGGACCGCCTGGGTAGGTAGGTTTCCATCCATGACCAGATGAATAACCTAGCAACGTTGAACCCTCGGGTTGACTTCCTGATTCATCTGTCTCAGCTACAAAAAGTCAACACGATAAGCGAAGGTTTAGCTTTCCTGTACGATGGGCATCCAATATCAATGCTACATACCTACACACACTTCAAGACTCCCTCACTACCTTAGTACCTACCATTGTATCGCCAATGCTACATGATGATGCCATCAGACGTGTGCTCTACCTCAGGCACCTCTGACCAGACTCTCAGGACTCGGAGGATCCAATTCCTCGCGCAGACAGGATTCGCGAATGCGTGATGACGATGACACACCTTTGAGCAGCGTCTCGGTACCGAACAATGGATACTGGTGTTGGCCGTTGTCTTAGTATTACATGTATCGGTACCCTCAGGATCCTGGAAGTACTGCCCGCACCGCATGTGAGAAATACCTAGGTACGTATCGTATCGTATGTTTTGTTATCCTTTGATTTGCACTCTGCTTTTCAGCATTCGCGTGAATGCAAGTTGGACGCATGGCTGAGCATCTTCTCTTATTCGCGGTTTGTTTTTGCCAGCTCATCATGGTTTACATCCTGAGGCCAGACGAATAGAGCCTGATACCAGATCAATTGACCCGACTCTCGCCGTCTTTGTCATCCATGACGTTCTGTTAAGATTGTCATATTACAGTATCCGTATCTGCATCTTTTGCAGCCAACCTGGACATGGATGGATGCTGAGAGAATTAAAGCTAAGAGTCATACTAACGTGTCAAAAGCCTCAATGCAATCAATGACAGTGGTTCCTATCAACTAACATAAACGGTCAGTCCCCTGTCAGAATTTTCTTTACCTTGACCAGAGTTGGTTCGTGGTGGATTGGACCCGAGAGACCCTAACTTGGACCTCTCGAGCATTGCTGCCCAAGTCAAGTCATGTCATGTCATGTCGGTGATGCCCCCTTGTCATGTTGGTCCACGGCGGCGCTTAGAAGTACTGTAGTGGTTTTCTCTTTGTTCAGGCTCCGTCTCGTTTCGAATTGAGTCCTTTTTGCTCAATGTTTCTGGGTTCCAATTCTTGTGCTTACGCAAGGATTCAAACAAATCTGTTTCCACTCAGTCATGACTCTTCTTGTGTATTGTTTATCCAGCTTCCATTTCAAGGTTGTTCTGAGTTGGCAGAGACCCGACGCTAGTACAGATAGATATTGGGCTGGATTAGACTCGAATCGAATCTACTCGACTCGTTCTCTCTCTACTAACCTTTCACGGGCATGAATCTTCAATACAATGGATGGAAATGGGCAGAGCGGGCCGTTCCTTGTGTCTGGGCTTTTGCACCATACTAAGGTACTATACCTGCCATGCATCAGGTGTGACAGTTCTGGTGTATCAACCACCTTAGTACTAAGGCAGGAAGACTACTATACCTGTCGCACAACCAAAGTACTAACTACTATCTAGTACCTTAGTATGCGATGTCTGTATTTTAGAATATTGTCCTTGACTTGAACCATGAATGACGGACTAGTCGAGATCTCGGTTCATTCCAGAAGAATCGAATGCCTTGATTGTCATAATTATTAATGCCATGATGATTAGGTACCAAGGTACTAAGGTAGGTAAGATACTTCAACCTACGGATACACTTGCGGCCTGCGCTTTGGCCCCCAGCTGGATACAACAAGCCCACTCCAGTGAAAACAAAAGCGACCGCATGAACCGGAATCTAGAGTCTTTGCAAGAACGGAAATATTCAATTGCATTTTGTAAGCGTACTAAATTTGACTCTTAGGCTATCGCCCATTTTCCAAGTGTGGCGTTCTCCCTCGTGGTCTAAAACCGGAGCCTCAATATCCCAAAGGCCTGGAGATGGAAATCGAAATCGAGACTGTGGCTTTTAATCTGACAGATTGACGGTCAGATCAAAGCCAAGAAACATTCTTAAAGCACGAGATCTTATCTGGACCTCTCATGTTTCGTCAGCTGAGACATTGATAACCATCTCACTTGAAGACAGAGGGGCGGTTGGTCCATCCTCTATCAACCAACCTCCAACCTCCTCAATTTTCTGTACAGACCCGATCCGAACCCGGGCCCGGTCCCGGTCCCGTCAAAGACGCTGCGGCCCTTTGCGCACAAACGAAAAAGGGCCGCGCTTCTCCAGTGAAGATCGACAACTTCAATCCATCATTGCGCTAGACCTGACTGTCGAGCGGTTAAGACTTTCATGCAAGGGCTGTCCTTGTTGCTGGTCGTGCCGAAGTCGAACCAAGGACAGTAGGGTCCTGTTGTTATCGCCGTCCTCTGGTAGGTATGTATGTACTGGCATAGTCTAAGTGAATTAGTGCTCGCCTCATTGATTGAGTGGTTGATCTGCCGTTTATATCCTTACAAGTTTATTATTCGACCCGGCACATCGTCTGTCGTTGATCGGCCCTGGCCTCAGGGTGTCATAAGAATTGACCCCCGACAGCATAAGAGACGAAATAATTTGATCACCTTATGCCAGCTTAGGCTAGCATTTAGGCTACATTGTTTCTGTAGCCTAACTTGAAGGACATTTCTTCTGACACCCACCTGCCTGGCTCGACTTACAGCCTTAGGTAGTGCCTACTAAGGTACAAGTCAGGTTGCGTTGCCCGATCATCGCTGTACTGTATTGTTCCATACCAGATTGGTACCATTCTTGTGACATACATTGATTAAATCGTTTCTGTCTGTTGTGCATTCGCTCATCACAGTCAATCCAGTCAGTCACTCGAAGCAGTCTTTCAACGGCAGGACATATTATCGTCGTTTGACCCCTCCTGGTGGCTCCTGCCCAACCTAGGTACCTACTGTACTGTACCGTCCATCCATCTTACTTGCATCCATCACATCTGGTCTGGACTAGGCTGCTCTTTCCATACCATTTTTTTTTTAACCTTCCCCTCCTCTGTCGTTTCTATTCATCCTCCTCTTCTTCTCTTTTCTCTCTCTGTCATTTCCTTTTGTCATCCTCACTGGAAACGTTTTGTTTCAAGTGGACGTCAAAAAGAGAAACGAGATTGATAATCGACACTATAATAATCTTTGAACGCCGAGATTCTTCTAGGACAGTGCTTTGGCTGCCCACATCGTCTCTCCTGGGTTACCGCGGTTGGGGCCTGTGACAGTCGGAATCAACGATTCGATCCATATCCATCCATACCTGCGATAAGCGGACCAGGAAAGGTCCCCGGGATTTCTTTTTATCTGATATCTGGCCCTCTGCCAGGACATATTCTGTCACCCTTTACAACAAAAACTTATCATGACCCCAAACACAAGTCGCATATCATCCTCTCCGTGTTGGAGGTTTCTCCTCTGGGTCTTGACTCCCTGACTATCGCTATCGCTATTATCGTTTATCATCGACAGCAATTACATTGATTGAATCGCTTCGATCGTTTTACCACTACTGCTGCTATTGTTATCGTCCGCTACTAGTTGACCAACTCAAACATCGGTACCGGCTAGGTTAAGGCCCAAAGTTGAACCAAGCGAAGACCTGAACCTGACGAGACCCCCCCGCCAGCGAACAGATCAGACCTTGGCTTGTTCTGTCCCACGTCTTGTCTTCACCTCCGCTTCTTCTTTTTGGGTTCCCTGAGCCTTCTATTATTGTTTCCCACTTCCCCTGATCGAGCCAATTGATCTTCCTGAACGCAGGGTCAGTGCTGGCAATCGTCAGTTTGCGCTACCACTACCTACTTACACTACACTATATCGAGGGGCCCTAACAAGAAGGCATATCGCCAAATCCCCCACCGCATCAAAGCCAGACTGAGCCAGGGGCCCAATCGACTCCATCTACGTTCCCCTCTCACTCCCGTCTTTGACCACTTGGGTGCATTGCATCCTCTCATGCTCTGCTGGCAGCCCCGCGTAGTATTGGATCCCATCCCTACCTTTACCTGGCTACCTGACCCAGCGTCGCATAACATCCATTACCACGCCCACGTCGATTTTCAACGACGCCCACGTTCGAGTTCTAGCTCACACCCACGTTCTTGCCCACGCCCCAAGCCGGTACTATTCGCTGCATACCTGACCTAGGTTTGCATTGTCTTGCTTGCAGTAGTCGACGGCTGCATATTTTTTTTTTCTCTTACCGTTTTCTTGTCTCTCTTCTTCCTTACCCTCTCTCCTTTTCGTTTCAAATCCAGGCTTTGCATTGCTGCTTCGCCTGGTACCTCACTCACACCATTCTCGCTCGTCGCCTCATTCAGGTTCTGCCTCATTAACATCTTCCCTCGCCTTTTACTTCCGGAACGGCTCGCTCCAATCAGTGTCTTTTACCCCACATCGACGCCTATCCTACTCGACTTTGCGTTGATCGATAAGACACTTTCATATCGATCTTGACTTACATCTTGTTGGTGACCTTACCCAAGACCTGGATTCGAAATTATACGGTTCTTCTGTCTTCTAGTCAAAAAGAGGGCCTTTTGACTCAATTGAGTTTTGCCTTGTCTTATATCATATACGTTTCTTACTAGACCACAATTGCAAGGTCTCGTATGTACACCATATCAGCCATGCCGCCGAAAAAGAGCAACAACCTTCGGCGGCGCCCCGCGACGCCAAACCTCAACGTTACTCAACTTCAAGCTCAAGTACAGACCCAAGAGGAGCCTCTCACCGCCGACCCAAATTCACCACCCGAGACACCCACCACATCACCACCTTTCTCACGCAAGATCAGTCTAAAACCTCGGCGTCAACCTGACTTCCATGATTACTTCCAGCCGCTTGACTCCGATCCCAATATCAGACCGGTCGGCGATGGTCATCAGTTCAGTTATCGACCTTCGCTAGGACCTGAACAATTGAGCCCTCGTTCGTCTTCCTCGTCTGGAATGGTCGAGGATAGCAGTGACGAGGATAGCAGCAGTGAAGATGATGAAGAGTCGGCCAGTCCCAGTATACGCAGTATGGGAAATGCTACGGGCCCAGTAGTGTCCTCGCCAATTGACGACTCTGATGTTGAGCTTGAAGACACCGACAGTTCCAGTGATTCGGATCCTTCTGATTCTAATTCGGACTCAGAATCCGAAGAGTCTGGGGCTGCTGATGAAGTCGAGACCTCCCATGTTACAGTTGCAGCTACTGAAATCGTTGCTTGTAACTTCACCCTCGAGGATGTTGATCCTATGGACAGCGATTGCGAAGGACTGGATGTCTTACAACCCACAGAGATTGAATCCAATCGCAGTCGCTCAAGGTCAAGGCATAGAAAAGAGCACAAAACCATGGTCAAGGATTTCAGAAACCTCAATTGCAGCAACGAGACGTCAGACACTGAGCAAGCAGCTGACCCCGAAGGCGTGCCCGACGAAGAAGCGATATTCCTTAAACACCGAGAGCGACTCAAGAGAATCCGTCGAATGAGCATGGGCAGCAGCTTTGGCAAAAGAACACACAGCGAACTCAGCGATTCTGATGACGACGGCGAGGGACTCGATGCCAACGAGGTTGGCTCTAGCGCACGTCGCATGCGGAGAAAGATGCACCGCACCAGTCTATTGTTCCACGACCCGCCTCCTCCTCCTGCGCGGATCGAGGAACTTGAGGAACCTGACTCGAGTGAGGATGAGCTTGTGGCGCATGAGCATCTAGCCAGAGAACTACCCTATTGGGCTATAGAAATTATGGAGGTGGACTCAAGCTCCAGTTAGAGCTCGAATTACGCATCATATCAGCTACATATAACAATCTTCAAGCTACCCCGGCCACCATAGGCATAAACATTAATGACATTACGAGGACAGGAGGCGACTAGGGTCCCTCTGACGACGATAACGACTCACCTTTTAACAACACATGAGCATGACACCGCCTGCAAGGGTTCAGCTACGCGGGGCCGTTGATTGCTTCCGCCTCGCCCGAATCTCATGGTTCATTTATGCGCCAGGCATGTACCGAGACATGAGGAGATGATTGAACAGATAAAAATGACATTGGGCATTTCGCATAGAACTAGTATCAAAACTTGAGATACCGAGTCGAGAACGGGATTGCCGCATTGTATTTTACTGGGATACCTTTAGACTGTTACTATACGTCAATTTCTTACTTGCAAGGCATACAATGGATATTATCTGGACACAAGGAAAAAATAGCATACGCGGCGAAATATGGGTACAAATCTAGTAGGCGCCCAAGAGCGCTTCTTTGACATTTTATCATCATTATCGAGACAATACTACTATTTAGACTGGGCTAGATCAGAATTCTCCGGTTTGTCATCGTTCAAGTGCTTAACTATGTATGGGGCATAGCATTGCGCAATCGAAATGTCGGTGACCTCTATTACTAGGGGCGAGCAGCGATACTATTAGGTGCCTCTATAATTCTGACGGGTTCGGACGATGACATACATCATTTTCTTTTTATCGCTTGGCAGATCTTCAGGAACACAACGCCCTGGCAGGCTGTCCTAGTGTATTTGAGACTGCGTGTCTTGAATCGGCTTCATCCTCTGATGATCAATTGTCTTGGTTGACACGGACATTCCTTGCCGGTCTCTCGCCAGGGCTTATGTATAGAATAGTAGTAGCAGCAGTAGTGATCGTAGCTTTCGATCTGTGGATGATTATCCGAGCCATGATTGGCACCTGGAAAAACCAATAGTACATCGAAACAATTAATGGTTTCACACTGTTCTCATATGGCGGAATCAATGATCAAGTTCAGGTATGTTGCTTAATGCATACTACCTATGTCTTTGGACGCCAATAGTCGAAGTCGTGTAAGTCACTGTAAGTGGGGGGTATCTATCGATAAGAACTTCCCGTGTTCATTGTTTTGAAACTCCACTATCGTCAATAGAGCTACCGTTCCATTACTTCTTGTTGTCAGGCATCGCAACACAACTTCAAAGCGTTCTTCGTAGGTAAAGTTTTATACACACTGAGCACAGAAACCGGGTTACAAATACTCTACAGTCCTATCAAATATCTGTCGGCGCAATTCGACAGCCACGCACCATGTCGTTGATCTCTGCGCATCTCGAACAGATCGGCTATTCATGCCAGGGCATTAACGACCTTCCGTAAGTTCTCGAGCTTCTCTTGCTACCTACGACTAACTTTTCACGTCTAGTTTCCCCCCACCGAAAATCTTCACGAACGCCCTTCTTTCCAATCATGATATTACATCCCTCATCCGCGATACCGAACCCCACGAGCGCGCACTCTTTTCTGTGCCACCACCTCCTCCACCGTCAACGACCCTCAAGCCCACCGAACCTGAGAAAAAGAAGTCCTCTGGTAGACGACAGACTGTCTTTAATGTAGCTTCAGGCGAAGTGACCACGGGACCCCCACCACGAACGGGTACACATCCTCGTCGACAAACTGCTGTGGCAGCTGTTTTGGGCGGTCAGATGCACGAGGAACTACGGCGCGGGGAGTCAGACCGCAAGGGCGACGTAGACGTCAATGTCCTCCTTCGTGGAGCGGAGAAGCTTTGCGGTGTATATGAACTACCTGGTGCGAGAGAGCGTATTGCTACGTTGCGAAGTAAACATGCGCACGGCAAGAATACAGCGGCATACTATGAAGCACGAGTTCAAGAACAGGCTGAGCAGTTAGCCAGTCTCGATCATCGAGATTACTTCGATGAGGAAGAAGAGGAAGAAGACGAAGGTGATGTGTGGACAGAGGATGATCTAAGACGAGAGGAGGAGGAAGCGAAGGAGATGGAGGTTAAGAAGAGGGAACTGCAGGTGAGGTTGAGACAGATGGAGAAGGATCTGGGGGGACTGATGAGGATGTGAGGCGATAATTGTGAAATGATACCCTTATGAGATACGAAGATGGTCAGCTCCACACATTGTTCATCTGTTCCAGTGATGTATGAGTTACTACTATAGGTCTACCGACTCCTGACCAAGAGCTTCTTCTCGAGCCATAGCCAGCTTTTCCAGAATATTCCCGACATCCTCTGCCCCATTCACCGCGAACTTTTCATTTATAACGTACCGTGGCACTCCTTTGACTCCCAATCCCTGCATTTTGGCAACTTCAGCATCAACCTCTTCACCTCCATCATCACCCTCCAGCCATTCCCTCGCCTCATCTCTGTCAACCCCGGCCCGCTCTGCCGCGTTGACAAGATCGTTCTTACTCGTTATATCCCCTCCTTCCAGGAAATACATCCTCATAATCTCCATCGCAACCCCCATCTCTAGGCCAACTTTTCGTCCTAACTTCTCAAGCCGATGCGCATCTCTTGTATTCCCAATCGTTGAATTAAAGTTGAACTCCAGCCCTTCCCTCTTTGCAATGCTATTGAGACGAGTCTTGACAGCGGGAACCTCATCGATGCCCCATTTGGATGCCATCTTGGACACGAGAGGCTGTGTGGGTGTATTGGTGTCGAGTTGGTAGGCGTGCCATTTGGTAATGATTACATCTTTAGAGCAGACGGTTTTGAGATAAAGACTTATGGCCTGGGAGAGATGCAGGGCGCCGATGAAACACCAAGGGCAAACAGGGTCGGAGATGACGACTATAGAAATCGTCGGCATGATGGATGGTGTTGCTGATATGAAAGGGGAATGCGGTTCCTTTGCAATGATGGCGTATGAAGGGATATAAAGACAAGCAACTCTAGATGCAATGAAATCGGTGCATGTCAAGTCAGATATCAAAATAATTACAGAGCGTTTGGACATCTTAAATACTGGATGGCTTCAATAAGAGGGCGGAATTCCGCCTGCCAAGCAACAAACTCCGGGACCACTGCGTAATTATAGGCACCCTTTCCTACTGAAAGTTAGTAATACAAGAGCCACTGTAATTTCTAATTCGTTCTCAAAATCCGTATTATTGGAGATTGTTCTCGGGTATCATATCTATCTTTTCCAAAGTCCGCCTCTTTATCATGCTCTATGAGCCTTGACCATGCTCTCTTGTATATGGCTCACGTCTATGTGTTTGTCTCATCCGCCGTGAACGGCTTCCAGGGCGATAATAGTCGCCTTGTGATCTAGATAGATTCCAGCTTCGGCTGTATCTGGATTTGGCCTCATGCTGGTCTCCTCCTGAACCCAGGCTTGGGCTACCTGCAATCTCAGAGTCGACTCCGAAACTACCCGAAACAGATGGATCGTATTGAACAGCTCTGTCCCAATCTGCAAGTTTGGTATATGGACTTCTGAGCCAAGCTCTCAGTTCATGTAAGAATAGGCGTGTATTGTCCCTGCCCAAGAAATCCGAAATCATTTCCTCAGCTTGGCCAGCACTGCCCATGATGTCCACAGATTTCAAGACAGCGATAATATATTCGAGAAGAAACTCGGCATTATTGGCTCTTCTTCGTTCAACTCGATTTCTAGCTGTATTTGCGGCAGGTCTTGGCTCATTTTCATCGGCATCAGGATTCAGGAAGGAAAAAACTTGGAGCTCTCTCCGAATCCACATGCGGGCGCGGGATACGAGGTCATCATCCGCACAGAAAGCTGCTGGAGTCAATTCACGATATCTGGACAGTCTATTCGTCCCTACGTGTTTTGAATATCGGTTATGACGATAAATATCCCTCCGCCGGGCGATCTCGTCTGATGAGTTCAAGGTGGGTGTTCCGTATCGAGATGGGCGTGCATAAGGGCGGCGCCGCGGAGGAAGTTGACGACGAAGAAAATACGGCGCATATGATATGGTATCGGGCTGTTTCGTTTGAGTCTCGGGCGCATGCTTGGGAACAGTGTACGTCTTTGCGACAGGTTCATCTAGGGCGTGGCGAACTTGTAGGATAACAGCTTTGCATAGGGGGCATCTCGGTGATTGTTCTAACCAGCTGAGAAGGCAAAGGTAGTCGAAATTCCGGTGCTGGCAGGGTATAGCTTCGCAGGCTTCGGTGATGCTCTCAAGACAGATGACACAGCAGTCGGTAGCGTCGTCTTGCCGGGCTGCGATTTCGTCGAGGGTACTTTGGAGGACTTGACGTTGCAGATCGTCTGTAGGCCGAAGTGCTTCCATAACTCGCACAGGAATTGCGGGAATTTGGCGCTGAGTAGGATAATGGGGAATTAGTACCGCAAGACAGAAATATGTTGGAAGGGGAAGTGATGAAGATGATGGAATGAATGATGGATGCGAATTCAAGTGGGGTCCTGTATGTACCTTACCCCAAAGAGCGGGTACCCACCCGTACCTAGGTAGACCCCTGCCCTGTCATGGCATGGGGCTACTATCGCGTTGAGTGGTTCGCGTCCCGCATTACCTACTAGTAAATACGTAATCAATTTAAACGCGTTTTATCTGCCAAGGTTCAGAGTAGTCGCGACAATCAATTCCACTGTCGACTTTCTTCATGACCACCTTATTTCTTGCTGTCTATCCTTGGTCAAGACCACATTTTGCTCGCAATTCTGCAAACAACTCCATTGAAAATTTCTGAGAATGGATGAAAACACGAGAGCTGAATATGAAAATCAGTCTCAGCAACTGCGTATCGACCTGAAAACTTGGGAAACTGACTGGGCTAAAGCACACGAGGGCAAGAAGCCAGGCAGAGGCGATATTAAAGCAAATGAAGAAATTGGTAAGTTTCTCAACCCTACAAAGAAGATTTCATCCTTACAATCGTTAGCTGCGAAATACAAACAATATAATAAGGTTCGGGACATTCTCTCGGGCAAGCTACCACCCCCTTCGAAGGATGCCTCAAACCCTCCAAAGCGAAAATCGGATGGTCTACCAGCACAAACGCCCACTAAGCGTACCAAGCATGTCGAAACTCCAGCGAAGAGCCGCACACAAAACCACGATGAGGAGCTTATGAACACCCCAGCCATATCACGCAAGCTGTTCAGTCCCACCTCCGTGACCTCAGTTGGCCCAACACCACAGCGAGATGGCCAGGTCCTCGGGCTTTTCGACTTGCTAGTGGAGAAAGAGCTAGGAACACCATCAAAGAGAGATTCTGCGACCAACATAGGATCTGTCCACAAACTTGACGCAACTCCAAATAAGAGGACAGCAACAATGGATGATGATGAGGAGAAGCTTGGCCGGACGCCTATGTCGTCTAGCAAGCGCCAGAGGCTAAACCATTTTATGACGCCTTTAAAGAATAAGGATGGAAATAAGGATGTCGTGACACCTTGTTCGGTTTCGAAACTTCAATTCGATACACCGGCTTTTCTGAAGCGCAATACTTTGCCGGTCCTGGATGAGAGTGGCGATTTCGATGCTCCGGCCCCTTTACGTTTACCGCGCAAACCATTCACAAGAGGTCTAAGCGAAATTGTAGCAAGTCTACGAAAAGTTGAAGAGGAAAACCTAGATGACGATCTAGATGCGTTACGAGACATTGAAGATGGTGATTTAGGTGAACCGAAGCCAAAGACACTGTTCCCGTCTAAGCCTAAGGATGATGTACTGGTGGAAGACGCCCAAACACGAAAACTCCCACTCGGCGGCTTTGACGATGAAGCCTTATACGACAGCCCGGTGGAGGGAGACGGCAACCCTGCCAGAGTTTACAAGAAGAAGGGCCAGAAGCGAACAACAAGGATGGTCAAGATGCGTCCCACCCGGACCAAGAGACCGGAGAATATGGCAGAGAACCCTCAAAGCGATGTAGAGAACGATGAAACACACGCGGTTGGTGAGGAAACTGGATCCGATTTCGATGAAGTGCTCGAGAAGAAGTCGGCACCAAAGAAGGAGGGCACAGTCAAGAAAGCAGCACGCAAGGTGAATGAGCTGGCTCATGCAAACTTCCAGCGGCTAAAGCTCAGGAATCATGGAGCCAAGGGTGGACCAGGCTTCAACAGTAGATTCCGCAGACGAAAGTGATGGGAGTGGTATTGGTCATTTGGCAGATGAGGTCTCATGAGGTGCAATCATTTTACGGCGTTCTAATGAAAGGGTATACCAGCAGGCAAATGCATTGGCTTTTATATAGGTAGGAAGTATAAGTGAGCGAAACGGGTCACTTAGCATACTACCTACTAACCTAGGTAAGTAACCTAGTTTCTCCTTTCTATCGAAAATATCATATTGTACACCATATCTCGGCACTTGGATAAATGCTTCTAGAAACACTCCTTCCGTCGATAGGAGCGTAGGTACGAGCCTCAGCTGTTAGTAGGGGCGCTTGCGGTACTAGCCTTTAAAGGCTTAGCGTGTTCTTGCTCGGCAGGTACAGCCAATGCGTCACTGCAGGGCTCAAAAATTAGCAGCCATTCAATACACCCCGTCTTGCACGGAATACTTCCTTCCCTCCATACCTAGGTACCTCCTGTAGGTGCCTCTTACCTACAGAGTGCAAAGAACGCAATCAAAGACAAACCATCTCCGTTATCCCTGTTATTTACTCTTTCTTGGTTCTGTTATACTGAACGCAACAAACTCTTGAGTTGCTTTGTTCTAGCCGACTGGGAACTTGCATTGTTTGTCTTAGCGCGCATCCCATTCGTTTGCTGAGCGCGTCGCAAGTTTTAGTAATCGCCATCTGCGACTCATCTTGATATATCCTATTTTCTTGTTCTAGACTGTCCAAAATCAGGTCTTTTTACTTCATGGAGAGCAGCACTGCTCGGCTCGTCACAACACCCCATCCGTTACGAAGCAGGTTGGGCTAGACCAAACTCCCGAGAATTTGAAAGGGCAATAACATACATTGCTTGAATGCAAGAGCATGGGGCTTAGTGGACGATATGCCGGTAAGACGAGACATGTGATAGCAATGTTGTGACCACTAATTGGTTATAGCACATCGATCTAGACGAAGATGATGGGACTGACATCCCACCAGAGTTGTTAGCCAATCCCAACATAGACTGGATGACAACCTCGAATCAAAGTCATGGCTTTGATGGTGTATTTGAAGATGCCTTTGCTCCAAGAGAGCCACATATCGATATCAGCCATGGAACGCCTAAGATGTGGACCAAATTTGGCGAAACCGATGACGACCGCATGAGCGTGATGGAACAAAACGATCTATCATCTATGTCACCTGCTCCAAGCGCGCCCAACTATGACTCGGGTCCTGAGGAACTTTTTGAAGGCATCAATATTGAAATACTCGATAATGTCGAGCCAGAGATGACAGTAGAAGACGGGTTTGACCTTGCAGTCGATGAAGAGGGCGCTGCGGCCGAGCCATTGGAGGCGGCAGATGGTACAGCAATCAAGGTTACTACACCGGAACTTCCTCTGAGTAACTCTGTCAAAGTTGAGCTTCCAGAAAGCTTGCTTCTAATCCCGCGATCCTGTTACGAGCCTTTTGAGCCAGGAATGCCAGTCGCGGAAGAGGACAAGGTCGTCCCCCAGCTCTTAGAGGTAGCGCAACTAGGAGGCAAGGGGACCAACAACTTCTTCGAGCTTGAGCTCGACGACTTTGCCGTTTACTGCGAACGCCAAAAATATGAGCTGGAGATGTGCTCACTTCATCATCTGGACACAAAGAACGGGCACAGCAACTTCTTCTTTGACGGGAAACTGAGCGTGGGAGACAAGGCCTTCTTTGTTCGTCATGTGCCCATACGAGCAATGCCTATTGGCAATTACGGTACTTTGTCCAAACACACAGTACGCGATCAAATCTGGGTCCAGTCAGTCATGAACTCCAACACAAACGTTTATTACCGATTGAATCGTCCTGCCAAAGAGTACCGTCGGTTCTTCGACCCATTCCTGTGGGTTGCCGATCTCGCCAAGCATTTTGTTGACTACCTCAAGGTCATGGAAGAGAGTAAACATGACGTTACGATCTTCCATTTCCGCTCAAACTTCAGCAATTGGCTGACGAAAACACATAGGACAGAGTCTGCCTTTGTCTTTTGGAGAGATCAACACCCCAGTAATGACTTCCGGACCTCCATCGTTGCGAACCTGGCGTTCTTGCACAAGGAGGCTATTGGTGTGCTGGACAAAAAAGCCTACAAACACAATTTATGGGCTGAGGCTTGGGAGTTTCGAAGATATGAGCAGTTTTCAAAGACCAGGAAGAACGACAAGGCGCAAAGCAAGCCATCAAGATCTATAAGCCAAACTGAGTCGTCGTTAGATCAAATAACTAATAAGCATTCGAAGGCCATCAAAGACGTCCCCCCGACCATCGTCACCCAGTACATTCATGGTTGTTTCAGCCATCTCCCCTCCGGCAAATGTCTTGAAGCAGTCCCACTGAGTAATAAGACGGAATTGCTACGAAATGAACTGATACGAAAGCGACATCTCGAGCTTCCGGCACCACTCCACCAGAATGCTAAGATCATATCAAGAGCTGGTCGACAACAAATTCTAGACATCCAACCTGGTGGCACCATATCAACGCAGAGAGATGCGGAGGACTCTGGCACGAAATGGCGACGCGATGTTTCTCATGGATTCGAAGATGTCGACCGTTGGTTTGCCCTCGTACAGCGCGTACATATGAACAAGAAGGGCGTCCGGACTTTTGATGTCATATGGTATTATCGACCTGTGGATACCATTTGTGCTCTAATGAAGTACCCATGGAATAACGAGTTGTTTCTCTCTGACCACTGTTCTTGTACTGAACCTTCAAAGATTTCTGAAGATGAAATTATGGGTGTTCATGAGGTTGAATTCGGAGGAACATCGACGACCAATGCCGAGTTTTTCTGTCGCCAAACGTATGCCTGTACTGAGCGAACATGGATAACTCTTGAAAGAGATCATCTGCGCTGCTCGCATGAGCGGAAAGTCTCACAGGTACCTCGGTATCGAGTCGGTGAGACTCGACTCGTCATGCTCGATAAGGCGAGTGGTCGCTCTGAGCCTTGTGAGTTCGTCACTTTTTATGAGGAGGAAGGAACTGGTATATACAGATTCAGACGGCTACTGAGAAGGCATCAAGTTGATCCACAGGCGGCAGAAGCCCAACCGAATGAGCTGGTGTATAGTGAGAACCTTATCGAGGTGAAGAGTCGGCGCATTCTTGAGCCTTGTCACATCCGGTTTTTCAAAGCTGGGGGAAAGATACCAACGCCTTACGACCGCAATGGCGTAGGCAATTTCTTTTACATTACTCATGAACAGGTCATTAGTCCTTCGTCAATGGCAAAGTCATATGTTCCTCTCAAGACATTCCCTTCTTCCTTGCGACAAGGTCACGATCCGTCCGAACGTCTGCAAAAGTTGCGCGGGTTGGACCTTTTTTGTGGAGGCGGAAACTTTGGCCGAGGCCTGGAAGATGGAGGCGGTATCGAGATGCGATGGGCTAATGATTACGATGGGAAGGCCATGCATACATATATGGCCAACACTTCAGTCCCTGGTTGTGTGTCTCCGTTTTTGGGCTCGATTGACGATTTACAGCGTTTGGCTATCGAGGGCAACTTCGCAGACAATGTTCCCCCTATCGGAGACGTCGACTTTGTTTCAGGGGGTAGTCCTTGTCCGGGTTTCTCTCTCCTGACGAACGACAAAACCACTGTCGCACAGCGAAAGAATCAATCTCTTGTTGCAGCCTTCGGCTCCTTCATCGATCTATATCGTCCACGATACGGTCTCCTTGAGAACGTCCCTGGCATCATTCATAGTAAAGCCAAGCGAGATCAAGACGTATTCAGCCAGCTTGTCTGTGCGATCGTGGGGCTTGGTTACCAAACACGATTATTTTACCTTGATGCTTGTTCCTGCGGCTCGCCTCAGCGTCGCTCCCGTGTATTTCTTGCTTTTGCGGCCCCGGGTCACCGTCTTCCTCAGCGACCGCCCATCACACATGCACATCCAGAGGATACCAAGAGAGCGGCAATTGGCAGTATTCCAACTGGAGAACCAATGGCGGAGCGAATCATACCCTTAGCTACACCTTTCGATTTTGTGTCAGCTCGCGCTGCGACTGCAGACATTCCCCCAATATATGATGCTAAACCAGATATATGTGTCCCATATCCCGACCACCGTATCTCTATTGGCACGACAAGTCGTCTCCGTAAACAGATCAGTCTCATCCCCAACCGGCCTTGGGGCATGAACTTTGCCCAAGCATGGTTCGGTCTTGACTGCAAGAAGGCTGGCTCTGGTATCCTTACGCCTGCCGAACGTCTTATATTTCCAGAGGACGGCAAGGCATCGCTAAACCGCGCGGGTGCTTTATCCCAGGCGTACGGCCGGCAGCGTCCCGACCGTCTTATTGGAACAATTGTGACAAGTCAAAGCCCGAGCGATGCAAAGAATGGTCGAACGCTGCACTGGTCTGAGAATCGTGTTTTGACCATCATGGAGGCGCGACGAGCACAAGGGTTACGCGACCATGAGGTTCTACTGGGTCTACCACCAGATCAATGGAAGATCGTTGGGAACAGCGTCGCACGAGAGGTGGCTGTTAGTCTTGGCGCGGTGTTCCGTGATGCCTGGGCGCAGAGCCTGGCAGATGAGTGTCATGTTCAAAACGATGCTGCCGCCGACACTACCATGACAAACTCTTCGAGGGTGCCAGCTCGTATGGGGATCGAGGTATCACCATCTGTGAGCATCGAAATGTTTGCTTCTAAGTTGGCAACTACCGACAACGGCATTGCATGGTCACACAAATCACGAAGTCGATCTCGTAAGAGCCAGGCCCCATCAACTACAAGCGCCTCTCCTCCGTCGAGTACAAACTCGAAACGTAATTCTGTTGTTGTTGAGATTCATGCATCAAAGTCGCCTAAATACAAGAAAGATGATACACCCAGTAGAGCGACATCTGTGGCCTCCGGCCATGCCAGATTGAGTCGGTTGAGATACAGCAACGAATGAGGAGTAAATTTTGTACAATTTATTTCTGGCAAAGAAACTTGGACTATTCGTCATGTTACCAACGTTATTTTAGTGTTACCAGTTTTGCTGGTGACTGGGAGACCGGAGGAGCCCCTTACACAGGCAGAGCATTTGCGAATTAGCACGGTCTGTAGGATACCTAGAGATTATATGAAGAAATAGAAATGTCATTGAATTCACCATAAGAACTCGCAATCCACTCGCATTGTCGAGGCCGCTGCGAGGAAAAGATGATGCTCTGAAACTCCCGAACAGCCTGGCGCTGACGATATTCTTACCCACGCTACATCCACATGTCCTAAATAACAATTGAATATAAGTTAAACGCTGAAAAGCAAAATACGTCTCAACTCATGTCTATACCAGCAGTTCGTTCCACCTCACTCTGAGGTCTCGAGATCTTTCAAGGTCATCACTTTGGCGCCCATAGGGGCTTGGGCGCCAGGCATCCTAATGCTAGCATACGGAACACCAGATGCTTGTCCAAGGATAGTCACAAGCTGACGACCTGTAACGAACAAATCTTTGCCTGTATAGTTGTTCATGGCACACTCCTTAAAGATTTGTCCAATCAGTCGTTCGCCCAGTGTCTCGATACTGCGACCACTGGCCCATCCCTTGTCATTACTCAATCGTTGTAGGAGAGAGAACAGTGACGTGCGAATAGTTGTCTCCATTTCGGGCGTTGCCTGGATCGTGATGCCCACCTTTCCCACAACCTGTCTCAGTTGCTCGATGCACTGTTCGGTTCGCATGGGGCGGAAAGTAAATTCAGTTGCAAACCGACTTTTGATACCTTGATTACTGCGTAGAAGCCGGTCCATATCCTCCTCATAGCCTGCCAGAACGATAATCAGCTTTCGTGCAAACTGTGGCTTTGTCACAGCATCCACAAGCTCGCTCACTGCCTCTTCAGCAAATGATCCGCGACTACCGTTAAGTCTGTACGCTTCGTCGATAAAAAGCACCTTGCCGAGAGCTGATTCAAGCAGGCGACGAGTCTTAGGACCAGTCTGGCCACAATATTCACCGATAAGTTGCGAGGCCGAGGCGTCTATAACATCAGGTGCAGCAAGTAGGCCCATGTTGTAAAAGATTTCGCCAAGTTTCCGGGCAGTCGATGTCTTTCCAGTTCCCGGAGGCCCTTTGAAGACATAGGTAAATGGCACGTACGGCCGGGGGTCGACGTTGCGCATCCGCATGCCTTGTACCATGTACTGGTATGATTCGAACTTGGAGATAATCTCCTCGAATCCAACAAATTCGTTAAACAATGCCCGCGTATTTTTTACGGCGTGCGACAAGCGATCGTAATCAGCATCAAAGTCCTGGGGCTCCAGAGGAACAGCATCAAGATCTTCAATATCAGGATTTTTTTCTTTAGCAATGCGACTTGATCGGGCCAAAATGGCTTTGGACAGCAGATTGTCCACCTCGCCTCCATTGCCAAAGTTTGGTCGAACCGAAGCTCGCTTCAAAACCTCCATGGCCACTTCCCGTGCCTTTTCTGTGGTAGTCAGCTTTTCCTTCTTCAACTTGAGGTCCAACACTTTGGCTAGGGCCTCCTCGCTGAAGTTTTCAAACACAAAAGCCGTGTCCAGAGGGAACCTTCGTGCGAGACCAGGATTGGCATTTGTGTACATTTCTTTCATCTGTTCTGAGTAGCCGCAGAGGATGACGCATCGATCCTCGCCAGCAGCACCAGTGACCTCAGCCACAATGGTATCAATAATGGCGCCTCTGAAGTCTCCGTTCTTAGAGCTACCACTGCTACCATTCGTGCCGGGGTCAAGCATATGGGCATCGTCGATAATCAAAACATTCCCCTTGGCTTCTCGTAACGCCTCTTGGGTGTTATTCTCAGACCCTCCGATATAACGGTCCAGGAGATCAGCTGGACTTTTTGTAATAACATCGCCTTTGGATAGAAGTCCAAAGTCTGCCAAGATTTTACCATAGAGCTTTGCGACTGTAGACTTGCCAGTGCCAGGAGGCCCTAGGAAAACACGGTTGGGTGAAACGTGTAAGGGATCATCGCCGCGCATCTCTCTGGTGAAATTTTGGTTCACTTGGCTCACCACAGAGAGAATAGATTCCTTGACGTCGTCCAACCCGACAAGCTCCTGGAGCTCTTTCCAGGCAGGACTCTTATTGGGACCAAGCGATGGCTTGTTGCCCAAAAGGTCTTCTTTTGTCATCCTGTAATCCTCCAGATAATGCCCGGTTTTCCTAGCTTGGATAAAACGTTCAAGTTGTCGCCTGCAAGCCTCGAGGAATGCCTTCTTGACAGGCCAAATGTTGCTGAAAGCCTTACCATTGACGTCCGACATGACTCTTCGGATCAGTATCTTGACATAGAGGCCATAATAGCCGCCTTCAACCTCCATCCTGTTCTTGAACCATTTCCGCATCATGCCGTGGAAAATCATCTGTAGCTCATGCGCGCTGTAATTGGGTAACTTCAGAATTGGAAAGTGGCTCGCAACCTCAGCGCTGTAGCCCATTAAGTCCGATAGACCCCAGTCGCCATTTCCAGAGATAATCAAGACAACTTTTCCAGGGAGATCTTGGGATCTGACGTAGAGACTCCAGAGATTGCAGTCGTCGCTGTTCATCAAATGGGCATGATCAATAATAGCAATCTAAGCAAGTCAGCGATATGTCGTTCCAGGGAGAAAGCGCCCACTTACGCAGCCGCCACAAGCGTTACATGTATTGTGAATTGTACCCAAGGTCGATGTTTTGGACATGTTATATGCAGAGAATCGGTTAATACCAGTGAAGACACCAGATTTCTTGACGACTCCAAGGGACACGAGGTACTTGGCATAAAGACGGGACAGCATGGTCTTCCCCGTGCCCTCACTGCCCATGAAAACCACGTCGAAGTTCTCTTTCTTCAGGTCGGTTTCACGTCTTTGGGCAGCGTTAACCCTAGCCTTTGTCTGTAGGAAGAAAGATTTCGCTTCTTCCAGGCCTGGTAAAGACATGATTCGGTCCAGGTATTTGTTTTCTGCTTTCTCTACCTTCTTCTGTCGCAACCACTCAATTCTCGATGGGGATTCGTCTTGGCAGTCTTCGGGTTCCAGGCCATCAATCGATTCGTTGTCAGACTCGTCATTTTCTTCTAGATGAGCCCTTCTGTTTGGGATTAGCGGATGTCTTCAAAGGAACCGGGAGGTTCGTGTGCTCCTTACTCGATCTCGTCCAGAAGCTCTTCCATCTCTTTGCAAAGTTGGAGGAACGCTGGCTCTGCCAACACTGGAGACTCCTCTTCCGCCGGCGCATCATCGGACTCTGACTCAGAATCATCGTCTGTTTCGTAATCAAAATCTCCATACAGCTTCCCAAGGCCAAAGAAATCCATATCCTCATCCTCCGCGTCTTGGTCTTCGTCTTGGTCTTCCTTGTCCTCTTTAGCTGGTTCTGTGGAAGACATCACAAGCTTGGAACGACAGCGCCTCCTTCTCAGCCGGCGGCGGGGTTTGCGACTGGGAAGCAGGCCGAGAAGGCGGCTCACAAGGAAACGGGGTTCATCTGTCAGAAAGTCTCGTGCCCATGCAGGATACGTGGATTTGGGCTTGAGCCCCAATAGCCAAGAGACAGAAAAGTTGATGTCTGTTGATTCAAGCTCCATCATTGCATTGAATCTGTTATTTTTGCTCTAATATAAAGCTATAACGCCCAAAACGGGTGAAGCGCTGGCTATTCAGCAAGGTAGCGTAACCAGGTGAGGTCGCTTGCTGCCTGTAAATCGATGAACACGCACGAGCCGATGATGGAGATACGGGAGCCGGAGCGGGGGGGATGGAGATGGGGATGGAGATGGTGAGAAGATCGAGTATGCGACTGTGATAGCGATACGAGCGAGATGTACAGAGGAAACAGAGATGCGGTCGAGGAATAACAAGTTCAAATATGAAGCTATCAAGGCTGTGTTTTGTTTGAGAGGAAAGAAGGGAAAGGGTTGAACAAGAGAGGTTCGAATTAAGGCTGAGGAAGCAGCTGCCTACTTAGGTACCTTGGTAGTTGTTTGAAGTTGACTGCAGGCAGCCAATGGCTTGTAGCTACTGCACATGCACAGTAAGACGAGTTGACCGCCAAGAGTGGAGGGAATAAAATAAGTTACTCACTTTATTCGAGATTATATTGGCTCTTGTTTTATTCATTTCTGGCGCCCTAAACCTTGGGGGATAAGTCCTCAGGGCTGCCAACGTCACCTCGGGGCTGTCCAGTAATTAGGTGCCTTCCAGTTTCGCTAAAGACCTAGGAGCCCGTCTTCAATGGAAGAAGGTTGGGGTAGGTACAAATACTGTACTTGCATTGCCAAGCGAACCTACTAAGGTACCTAAGTATACGTACTCAGGTGCACCTTAGATCGGGCGAGTCGATATCTAGTACTACCTACCTAATAACCTAGATAGACTAGTAGGTAGGTAAGTTCAGTTTAAATCCACAATAATTGGAATTTGAGATGTTTACTCTCGCTTACAGATATGATGAACACCTCTTATCTCATCTCAAAGTACCTGTTATCGTGTCTTCTTGATCGTGCACATACCTAGGCTGGTGTACCGCGACCCTGAACTCGAAACATCCAAAGAGTCACTCTAGGTACCTCTAAAAAGCGATCCAAATTAAGCTCGCCCGCCTGGCCCCCCTGGACTCCATTCTCTGCGACAGAGACGTCGGGTTGCCTCATGCACTGCCACGGGACAATAGCAGATTGGAAGGGTAATAACTGTACGGAGTGCTTACCTTCGCTTAAGATCTATTGATTGGCTACTGAATGAAAACATATAAAAAATGTGCTGCTCTTGCTCAATGTAAGACCTCTCTTGTCATTGAGAGCTGTTGATATTGGACAAGGGTCCTAGACTGCAAGTGTAGCTCCACTACTAGACTATGGACATCAGTAGTACCTATCTATCTCGGGGTTGCAGGAGCGATCTACATTGAGCTAGTAAGTACCTAGGAAGTTACTGCGTTCTTCCTCCCTCTCATACAATCGATTCATCAGGGAAGTCGATCAATAACCCGCCTTGCTCGATGAAAACTTATCCGTATTCTGATACAGATTTACATTAATATTCCGTTGAGGCCCCCTCTTCCTGTCATTGCCCGTCATTTTTAAATACTAGGTACTTAGGATGGATGTGTACTAGAGCGGCACCTAGACAAGGCTGAATTGAAACGCGAATCAACAACCAATCATTTCATTCAACATCGCATCGACATCCAGGTGCCAGGGTCCATGTCAGAAGAGCGTCCCGTGGGGGGATAGGTCAGGTAAAGTACAGTACCTCCTATGGAGTCCCTAGCTGACGCAGCCAAACTGGATCCGACTGGACTGCTCAGATAACGCTGAGAGCCCCAATCTAACCACTGTCCACAACAGAATTCGGGCGACGAGTGTGGGGTTAGTTCGCCTTACCGTGGTCAGCAATGGGGCCTCAAAAGGAAACTGTAAAGCTGGCAAGTGCTGGTTTGATATGGAACATTTACTAACAAAGACGACACCGATACCGATACATCAAGACCGAGATATGTGTCCATCATGTATCTTTTATCTCCCTGCTCAGTGGGATAGCCCTAAAACACCAGCTTATGGTGGCCGGAAATACATAGGCCAGACATGTACAGTTAGTCAGTTAAGCAGTTAGGCAGTTACCTTATTTTGGGAAGAAGTCGCCTGACCAGATTGAGGCGGTCTCTTTACGTTTCCATGCGACGCTCAGATACCTCCTTTTGTTCAGGCAGCCTCAGGTAGAGCCAGGGTCTGACATTCATCAACTTCAGTTATATCTAGAGTTTCGTTCTCAGCTAATTGCCTGGTCTGGTCTATCTTTACCCACCCAATCCAACCCCACGGTCGGTCAATTGCCGTGTCAGATCATCAGGACAGGGTCTTGTCTTGTCTTGTCTTTTACAGGACTACCTACGTAAGTATTTTGCGATTATAGCCTACCCTAGATACAAAGTCGAACTTGTGGTGCGCCAAAACAACAAGTCAGCATATCTACGAAAAGACTTGATACGGGAAAACACAGTGAGTCTTAAATTCAATACGACAACCTGACTTAAGGGCACGGTGTAAGCAAGACGGTAAGCTGTCTGCGTGTAATTTATCTAAGTGTGAGTTGAATTGACCTGCCACTGTCAATAGTTGCAACTCTCCATTCCACACATACACATGGCATCTTTCTCCCTGATGTTGGAAAATCAGGAATTCACAGTCCGGTACCTGGATACGTTAAGATCACACCGGGGACGAAACTTTCCGAGACTCGTTCGGTAATCGAGAATGCTCAAACTAAAAGTGAATAAGCAGTCTTCAGTATGGTACCGGCCATGTACTAACTACTATGTACTTGTCAACTACCTTAGGTAAATAGAACTTAAAACTTACGGTTCCTGGTAGGGCTGATCAATGTCATTTTCCAACAGTCCCGGTCCTGATGTAGTGGCAAGGTACCCTACAGACTTCTCCTTTCAACTCGTCAGTGCAGGCCATCAACCAGTTCAAAGTATCCATTGAAAGAACACTCGTCTCGAACACTGTACTGTAATGTCTCTGACTGCGATACCCATCCCTTCAGTCTTGTGACGACTCTTCACCGTCTTGAACCACTACGTGATACCCACCTCCGGAGAGTCTCTGTCGAGTTCCAAATTGGCTGAGTGGTCAACCATCCAGCCTCTCCAAGACCCGAGCACTTGTTGTGGTGAATTATCAGAAGTGACAGATTCAACTGAATCAAGCCCCAGTATGCAATGGAGGCGTCACTATAGGAACATTCCGATCTATGCCCTCAATTTACTCGAATAAACCATCCGGGCATTTGCTTTCGAGCGGCAACGACCTAAACCTCAGACTTGATAGTGTGTTGCGTAACAAACGCCCGGCTTCTGTGATAGCTCGTGAATAATTTCTTTCTCCAGATATCTTGAAAAGATTGTTGTAGCCCAAGGAGAAATTCCAAGCTTTGTTCTTGAGAAGTGTTTCACGTTGTTCTTCTATACACCCCCTACTCTCCTTTGATCGACGACCGTTTAGATTGACACGAGGTGTGTCTACTCATTCGTTCAGGACAGTAACTTGAATCTGGACTTACTGTTATACCAACAGGAAGACTGGCTCCCCTGGGGCATCGATGATCTTCCATGGTGCCCTATCCAAGTCTGACCTCAACGGCCATCACGCGACCCCAAGATCTCCTGTGAGACCTAGGAGACTAGGACAAAGCCCAACGGAATCTACTCCAAGTGATAGACAGATTTAACTTGTATAGAAGTCCTAAGAATTGCCCCATTAGGACGTTGGGCCTCAAAAGTGAGCGAAACAATGTAATGTCAATGTCTCGTGCCTGAGCCTTCATCGTCATATCGAACGATCAGAGTGTTTGAGACACACAGAAACCGACAGGTCATCTCTTGGCAGGAGATCATACCAAACACCATCGTCCAGCATCTAGTGAATCGATCCCGGCCGAACGGATCAAGGTGTACCCTTACGTTAGCATGATTGACGGGAGAGAAGAGACGACAGCGCGAACAAGCAACGCCGAAACAAGCCTTTTCATCCCTTTGCAAGATGACTGACTCTTGTGACAACGATCCACTACTGTGTGTAGATAGAAAGGAAGAGGAAAATACGACACATCACACGAGATCAGTGAAAGCGTTACACTTGATTCAATAGCCAGTATCGATCAACCTAAGGGATAGCAACGGCATTGTGCTTTCTGCATCACTAACAACCCTAGAGACCGACTTATGGCCCGGGAGATTCGCGCACACGACGATCCTGGAGTAAGACGGTGCGCACTCTGAGAGGGGTGTATGTAAATTAATTTATGGAGAGACGCTTCATGAATTGCTTTTTCCTTCTCTGCAAGCACAAGGACTCAGCTTCTGGTCATTGACCACACCTCGGAGTTCCCAGGCCAGAGAAGCACTGGGCAAAGGGGAAGAGAGGAGAGAGAAGACAATAGAAGACGTGGAGGCTGGAGCCATGGCGGTCAAGTGATCGTCGGAGACTAGACTGCAGAAGCCAGTGAAGGGCGTTTGAGAAGCTATGCACCGTACAACGGCGTTGCTCCGAAGAGGACGTTGAGATATCTGAGGTCCGATGATCGCCAAAGAGAAGGGAGAAAGGAACGCGCCGAGCCGAACTGAGCTGATATGGCATTCTCAGTATTGGACTTTCGCCGTGTGTGCCAAGGGAAAGGATCGAGAAGTTGCAGGCATGTTACTGCAATTACCCAACGGCCCAATCATGTCAGTCTGCTTTGCTGTTAACCTGTATACATTGAACGTAGTAGACATATAGAGGTTGCTACGCTGTTTTGCTGGGTACTGTACTACTCAAGTACAGTATCCAATGCACTAGACCAAGACACCAGAAGAATTCTCTGCAAGACATTTCCTGCGGGTGATACAGCATTTTGCTGTAAGGCACAGCACATAGGGTTAGTCAGTATCTGCATACTTATCCATGCTATGGATGCTATAGGTTATGTACTGGCGATCTAAGCACTGATCTGCAGCACTATGTTGACAATGAACCATCGCCAAGAGCAACGGACGTTTACTAGCAAGATGACCCTCCCGACATCCGGACTCAAGGAGAAGACA